GGGAGGCGGCCGTGTTGGGAGGTCCTTTCTCTAAGCACACGATGCGATGTGGCGCGTGGACAAGGGCCGCAGACGCTGCTCTGGTCCCCGTGCAACCAGTACACGTTCTTGTCTGGTGTCCCTTTTGTAAGTAGCAACTATAAACACGATAAGTAAGCTGTTTAGCAAGATGCAGATTCTACATTGTTTTTGATTTTTGCAATTCATAGAGATAAGGTTTATTTTTTTTCTTAGCTACTGTATTAAGTATGACTTCTTTAGAAGGTTCCAGACAATTCAGATGTTGCCCTTTTAGGAAGCGTGCATACCACTCCCCAGGTGCGATGCTCAGAGTTCCAGGTGCGTGCAGGAAACTGGAGAAGCAGAACAGTTTAGAAGTTTTAGGAAGCCTGCGGGGCACCTGATCCCCTCTTGCGGCAGGAGCCGTGGCAGCGTGGGAATTGTCGGGTCCTCGGCACACGAGTTATTTTCTAGGGTAGTCTGAGAAAATAACCCGGGAGCTGGCAGCAAACTAGCAGCTGCACAGTTCACGTTCCTTACGCAGGTTGTTAACCTTTGAGAAACACATGCTGCCGATGGCGCCCCCGCCTCCCAGGGGCTTCTTCAGTGGGACTGCCCTGCTGGCCTGAATCCAGGATCCCGGTGGAAGTGCACACCCTGAGTTGCAGTCGCATTTTGCACATTCTGTGCTCTAACTATGTTTTCCCGTATACGGTGTGGCTACCCCAGTTCTGACGTGAGTGAAGGCAAGTGACAGGCACACATTTCCTTGCTTCGCTGCTGATCAACATTGCACAGGGGTTTGTTTTGTGTTGGTTTTTTTTTTTTTTTTTTTTTGGAGAAATTAAGTGGTAGTTAGTCTCTAAAAACACAATGTTTCAGGCTGCCACGGTGAATAAATAGAAATGGAATCAGGGATTTTTTTAAAGAAAAAACTTATGCAGCTTTTCAAAGTTGATTGTTTCAAAATTGATGTTTATTTAAAATAAGTGGTAATGTACTTGAATGCACTTTTTTATGACAATGATTCAGTCCTGGTAATTTTACTATTAAAGGAAGTAAAAGGTTTAGTTTTGTTAGCATGACTCAGCATGTAGCTGTCAGGTGTTTCGCACCTAAGGGTAAAAGAAAGCGACAGTAGCTGTAGTTGTATTGTGTTGTATTTTTGCACGTGCGCTAAGCATAGGCTTGCAGAGGTGGGCGGGCGAGTGAATGTACCTCCCGACTTGGAGATAGCGTCTTTCTGTGGGTTCGTTTTGCTTGACTATTTCCACGTCGTTCTGTAACAATTCTGCAGTTACTTACCCGTCTGCTCACGGGGAATCCAAATGTCACGTTTCTCCCTAACCGAACAACACTGCCGTACGGGGCGCTCACCACAGGCCTCCGGCGCATTCTGTTAGGCTGTGCTTTGGACTCTCCTCCCCACAACTTATTAAAAAAGCACCGACGGTTTCTCATTAAGGTTCACGTGTGGTCATTGACATTTGGGGTCTCGTTCCCCACGCCCAGCCTCCTCTAATAGGAAAACTGTCTAAGAAGCGCTAAGTCGGGTCATTTTTACTAACTCACAGAGCGGTGTGCTCGGAGGAGTTTTGTTCCCCGTTCCCTTCTGCTGCCCTGCTACCTGTGTCTATCGCCAGTCTGCTGCTGTGCATCTCACACACTCTTGGGAATTGAAACACACACACACACACACACACACACACACACCCAGCCTTTCCATATCTCGTCACACTCCTCAACAAAACGATGTGGCTGTGTGTGGCCCTCATTTCAGCCATTTGTTGAGAGGTGTCAGCTGGCCCAGGCCACAGGTAGCAACAGGTATTTAAAAAGCCTTTCTATCACCCGTGCTTTCCTTTTACTATGACCACAACGCAAATTTTTTTAAAGATTTATTTATTTATTTGAGAGGCAGAGTTACAGAGAGGGAGAGACAGAGAGAGAGATCTTTCCTCTGCTGGTTCACTCCCCAAATGGCTGCAATGGCTGAAGCTGGGCCGATCCAGAGATAGGTGCCAGGAGGTTTTTCCAGGTCTCTCGCACGGGTACAGGGACCCAAGCACTTGGGCCATTTCTACTGCTTTCCCAGGCCATAAGCAGAGAGCTGGATTCGAAGAGGGGCGGCCGAGACACGAATTGGCACCCATATCGGATGCCAGCACTGCAGGGAGAGACTTAACCTACTAAGCCACAGCTTAGCCGGCCCCCACAAAGCAATTTAAATTAACCTGATGAGAAAGTACTGGGGCAGGGCATTTGCTCACCTTCGCCCGCCTCTGTGTCTACTCCTCAGCCCAGTTTTGAGCAGGTTTGGCCCTGCTGGGGTGACATGGTCAGCAAAAACAGCAGGCCCCAGATTGGGAGACGTGGGAAGCCCAGGGCCTAAATCTTCAGGGTGTGTCCCTGGCTGCTTGCACCAAACACGTTATGTGCCCCCCTGTATGCGCTCGGAAAGTTGTAAGGCACTGCATCCTCTGTGTTTCCTCCAAAGGGTTATTCTTTTGTTTTTATTTTCTTCTGTTTTGGAAAGATAAATTGGGTCTCTGCTGCTCCAGTTTTCCTGACTACTGCCAATGCCTTTTTAGTGAGGCACAGCAGTAGAGGTTCCCCGTGCTAGGAATTTCCTTACAGTTCTTGCACCCTTTGGTGTCTGAGCTCGTCTCAGACGAACGTGTGAGCCACGGCCATCCTGCTGGGGGTGGTCCCGTGAACGTTCTCCCCGGCTGCAGTCCCAGGCTGTCCGCACCCAGCCTCCTTGGGCCTGAGTCAGACGGCTGCGTGTTTTGGCTCCGACGGCTCCCCCTACCCATAATTCCTCCTGCCTTCCTTCTTGGGTAACCTAAGCATTGCTGGCAGTGGAATGGCACAGGTAAAAGTCATCGTTCATTATCTCTGCAGACCACTGTCAGGTTGTATGTCAGGTAAGTGATAGAGTCTGGAGTTCTTCTAAACGCATGCTCCACCTGTCCAGTCACCTCTCGGGAACAGCGTAGCTTCTGGGCCACTGCGCCGGGAGCGTATGGCCATCTGCCCTCATCGCTGACCTGCAAAGGGTCAGCAAGCAGTCCTCACAGAAAGATTACAGTAGCTCCCAGTTTGTTTAAAGATTTACTTGAAAGACAAAATTACGGGGGAGGGGTGGGGGAAGGTCTTTCATCTGCTGGTTCACTCCTCAAGTGGCTGCAACAGCCAAGGCTGGGCCAGGCTGAAGCCAGGAGCTTCTTCCAGGTCTCCCACGTGGGTGCAGGGGCCCAAGCACTTAGGCCATCTCCTGCTGCTTTCCCAAGCATATTAGCAGGGAGCTGGATCAGAAGTGGAGCAGCCAGGACTAGAACAGGTGCCCATATGGGATGCTGGTGCCCATTTGGGATGCTGGCACTGCAGGCAACAGCTTTACCCACTATGCCACAGTGCCAGACCCAGCTTCCAGTTTTAATAGGAGATACAACTAGGTTCTTTCACCTTTTTTATGGGTCATATATATTTTTATATAAATGTTTTCTATATTCTGCAACAGAGAGCAAAAGAGATAGTGTTAGATAGTGAGAGAGAGAGAGAAAGATTTTCCTTTCGTTGGTTCACTCACCAAATGGCTGCTACGGCCGGTGCACTGTGCCAATCCAAAGCCAGGAGCCAGGTGCTTCCTCCTGGTCTCCCATGCGGGTGCAGGGCCCAAGCACTTGGGCCATCCTCCACTGCCCTCCCGAGCCACAGCAGAGAACTGCCTGGAAGAGGAGCAACCGGGACTAGAACCCGGTGCCCATATGGGATGCCGGTGCCACAGGCAGAGGATTAACCAAGTGAGCCACAATGCTGGCTTCTTAAGAAATTTAAATTAAAATTCCGCCTGTGCATTGATGAGCCCAGTCTTGAGGTTAAGGTGAACAGACTGTACTGCATGTTGAAATGAAATTGCTGACCTGGTCAAGGCAATAAATCACCTCTTTGATTAGTTTAATTTAGCTATTTTGTTATTGGTTGACCTTTCACTGTGGCTTCATTAATTATAATTTATGTCACAGTTCCAGGGCACACTCTAATTATTTGTGTGTGTGCACGAACATTGGCAAAGACTATGTGAACACCCGTTCTTACCCGCCTTTAAAATGAGTTTTTCTTCCTGTTTCCCAGCCCGTTGCTAAGCATCAGCAGAGGCAGTGGCTGCCCCGAGCCGTCACAGTGCGCCCCACTTAGTCACCACCAACCAGTTCTCCTGCCTGGCGCTCTGAGAGTCTGCCTCTGAGCTGATTCAAGTCACAGCTGTGGCAGGAAGGGCGTGGCTCTGCCAGGAGGACACTAAGCCCACTTGTTAATGTGATATCAGGAGTGTGCACTTAGCCAGCTCTCCTGCCATCGCGAACCGTAGCCCTAGGAGCGGAGCACCTGCGGCGTGCAAAGCAGGTGGTCTGTTTTGTCTGCAGGTGTAGGTCTGAGGACCCTTGTTTCTCGTGCTCCTCTGCTGTCACCCAGCAGCAGCTTAACAGAGAGGCTTCAGTCCACACAAATGTCACATCACTTTTTTAAAAAAATCATTGGCTGATCGCTTTTTAAATGTAGCATAACTAACTGGGCATCTATAATCTTGAGAATATTCATTCATTTAGACCCATTCTTGTCCCAAGAAGGAGCTAAGAAGACTCAGAGATAAAGAAAAAAATAGTAGAAGAAAAAGGAAAATTTAAAAGGCAGACGGCATCAGGGAAGAGGGAAGGCCGGTGAGCGGGTGAGATGCAGCCGAGTGCCTCCTACCTGGGGGGTGAGATTCCGGCCGGAGCTGGCACAGAGGGTGCCCAGGCTCAGCAGCTGTTCTGGTTTGGGAGATGTTGTGGGCAGTAGAGATCGAGGTGTTCCACTGAGCGTGGAGTCAGCTGCAGAAATACTGGCTTCTTCCACGAGGTTGCAACCTGAGGCGTGGACAGCAGAGCCAGCGCACAGCGAAATCCCCGTGGAAATGTGCGCGCGGTGCCCGTGAAACACGCCTCACAGACACCATCTCAGGCAAAAACGTGAAGCATGTATTTGACCAAACGGTGACAGAGAATAAAAACGGCAGACGAGCTCCCGAGGTTGAGGAGCCCAGGAGCTGTGCGTCAGGCCCCCAGGCTGCCGGTGTTCCCGGCGCGGCTGTGACTGTGGCCGGAGACACTCACGGCTCCTCCACAACCTCCGTGGGGAAGATGGGCTCCACGGGCTCAAGCAGTTCGCCAGCGGCAGCCTCCAGTGCCTTCTCAGCTTCTTCATTCACGTAAAAAAACACGTGCTCTTCATTGGGCCCTGTTTCAAGGGGGTACAGGACAAGAGTAAAGTTGACTGCCAATGTGCTGCGGGATTTTGTTGTTAGTTATGGGGTCTAAAGGAGATCACCTTCAGAACCCTCGGAAACTGGGCCTGTCTCTGTCCATCCACCGTGCACTACAGTTACTCTGCACTGTACCCACACACAAGCTTCTAGAACATTCGCTGTACAGTGGACTTTGGGCAGAAGCTTTGAACAGAATAAAGGTAAGAGACAGGAGGTGAACCAGAGCAAATGCCAGAAAACACACCAACCGCTGCCAACCGTGAACTCAGGTCGGTGATGGCGGACTTTGGCCACCCCGGTCAGGTCTTTGTAAGGAATGGTGGTTCTTTCAACAGCTGAGCTTTTGCCAAGGTTGCCTGCTCCAAATGGGAGCAAGATTTCTCACCTCAAGTTTTTGATCTCAACGTTTATTGACCACTGCCAGAGTAAGAGAAGTTCTCTCTAATCCGTACGTCCCTTCCAGAATAATTAGGGCTGCATTAGCACCCCGGAGGGGCTGGCCCTCTGGCCACTGGTGTCACTTTGATGCCTGAAGCACCTGTTTCCTTTAGGAAGAGTTGCTGGGACTGTGAGAGGCCATGGAAGCAAACTAAAGCACGGTCCAGGTGTGGCCCAGAGGAGATGAACTCAGACGATGCACGGAACGGCATCTTTCCCTGCCTGAAAAGTCCCTAACACACTGAGTGACCCTAGCCTGTGTCCTCACACAACTCAATTAGTCTCCCAGTGTTGTCTCTGTGTGCGGTGAATCCTAGCAGGAGGACCAAGATCCCTTTGTGCGCTAAACTTGACAAGTTTAAAATCATCCTGTCTGTCGGCCTCCAAGTGTCCGCATGTTGGGGTCTCCTTTTGGCTACCACCAGCAGCAATAGGGAAAACATAAGTGCATATTTGGGGTACCTCCCTGCAGGCAGGCAGTGCCCAAGGAGCTTCTGTCCATGCAAATTTGCGAAGGGTTCATTTCATAAATGACTGGTTCATGTCTCTCAGTCTTTGCCAGGTACAACCTTAACATTAACGTGCTGGCTGCTTGTTTTAAGTCAAAGGAGTTGTTTGCAAGACCCATTGGGCAAAACATCTGCCTTTAACTTCCCGGCCTGTGCGGAGAAACCTTAAGTATGATTTGGGCCATAACAAAAGGTAGAGGCTTGGAGATTCCAATCAATTAATTCTATTGAGAAGCATCAGGCAGTCTAAGCACGGAGAAGGGAGAGAGTTTTAAACATTCAGGTAAATAGATAATCCATTAGGACGACAATGCCCGTGGTGGGGGGCGCCAGCCTAGTTTTGTCAGCACTTATTTATGGTCTTTGGGTTCCCCTGCCCTCCTGCAGAGGGGCTTCTATTCCCCTTCTCCCAATCTTTGTTCTCTGATTCAAGGCAGAGGGAAAACAAAGCAGGAAACGGTGCATACCCAGTGTTCCATTCTGGACGAGCTCTTCCTCTATAGTCAGCAGGCGGTTGTACTTCATCACCCACTCGCCACGAGAAGGACCCCCCAACTTGATAAAGCGGACGCTGAGCCCCACAGCCTGACGGGGGGAGAAACAGCTCTTTAAAAGGGGGTAGCCACGTTCAGCTAAACCACGAGCGATTCTTGGAGAAGGGAAGCTGTCTGGGTGCACTGCTGGGGTTTTGTGCCTTTCCCGGGGCAGAGGGCCTGCTTCGGAGCTGGGAGTGTGGGAAGGCAGGCAGGTGGCGCGGCTGCCCGCCCCTCGGACGCGGCGCTGGCTTCTCTCACTAGCGTCTGCCTTCCCCACTGCATTCTCGGGAGGAAGATTGCCCGCGCACACCCCAGTCATTTACGCGTGCTCATCATTTTCCCTGGGCTTCAATTTCCCCTCTTTTTAAAAGTTCAAAGATTAGCTCCTTGCAGAAGGTAGCTGTCTGGGAGGAAGCAAGTCTATTTCATGAAAGGTTACATGACTTTCTCCACCGAAGACTGCATTTCTCTGAAATAGCAGCTTGTGCTAAAAGCCGTGTTCTGGCAGTTCTGCAATTGGCCGGCATTCAGCACTTACCAAGTCGACAAGGCTGTCATCAGTCGCTTCTCCATCCGGACTGCCCAGGACGGTGATGTGCTTCTTGCCTACAAGAGCAATTCCTGTCACTTTGATACCGTGCGGGAATGATTAGCATATACGCGTGAGCCTCTGGGGCCAACACTGGCAACCGAGCAGACGCAAAGCTTTCCCGTGAGGCGTCAGACACCTGTGGGGCTGCCTGAGCATTCTGACCCCGAAGCATCTGCATTTTCCTTGCCCTGGTCTTAGCTCCTCACTCCTCTTTGCGGTAACCTAGGTGCTGTGCTGGGTGAAGACCGTGTCCCATCGCACTTCAGCTATGGTGCGTGGGGTACATATCACACTTAGGACCACTGCGAGGAGGGAAACACGCTCCAAGGACACTGACGCACTGCCAAGAGCACGGCCGTGAAGGCCTGGCGTGGTTTTATGGCCCTGCACTGTAGGACGCCACGCAGCTTTGCAGCGGTGAGATGTGCTAAATTCCCAGGCAGCGGATGCAGCGCCCACAGGCCTGCGTGCTGATGGCTGTCTCACTGCACCCCGTGTTTTACTCACAGGCGTGTCATCCTCAGCGTTTATTAGAGGAGCAGGGTGGTCGTGTGCAGTGGTCATTTCCCGCTCCTAGCGAGGCACAGCAGCTGTTTTACAGGCAGGAGCTGCAGCAGCCGCGAAGGGGGCGGACAGGGCGAGGGCTCCCCCCTATCCCCACCCCACCCCTGGGCCAGCCCTGCAGGGTGGGGTGGCGAGGGAGGTTGCCATTCCAGTCTCTGGCCCCCGACTGTCAGCCTGGCTGTGGGTCCCACCCCAGGTCTGAGACTGGCCTTCTGCCTAGGTCCTGAGACCGCCTCCGGGTATTTATGCTCCAGGCCCAGCACGGAAGTGCACCAGACGCCCATGATCTCACAAGGAGTTTGCAGTCTGCTGGGGGCACCGCCCAGGAAAGAACTGTCCAAATCACTGGTCAGGACCACGAGGAGGAAATGAGGGGCGCCAGGGGGCAGGCGAGGCAGGGTTGGGGGAGTCAGATGTGGCACGCATGCCTGATTGACAGCAACACCTTGGGGAGGAGAAGCTAGCAAAGCCTTCTAGGTGGAAGGTACAGCACCTTCCGAGACCGAGGCAGTAAGGAGTGAAACCGGAAGAATTCACCAGAGAGCTGGTGCAGCGCGGGCCGCTGGGATCCCTGTGGTGGAGTGGGGCAAGCACCTAGTCCGTCCTGGGTAAAATGCAGACGATGCTCACTTTGGAGTGAAGTGCAACGCTCCAGTGCCAGAGCTGCTGGTTCCAGGATTTGAGGCTGGCTTTTCAGTCCCCAGTCCCCAGTGCTGGGGTCCTGCTCCTGAACTCGAGCTTCCTGGCTAAGGCCTGCTTCCAGGTGCTTCCTGGTGCTACGCTGCCTTGCCAGCCTGCACCTTGCCAGCCTGCACACTGACGCATTTCTAAGATGCATTCCATGAGGCCGGGGCTGTGGTGTCGTGGGTAAAGCTGCAGTGCCGGCATCCCATATGGACACTGGTTTGAGTCCCGGCTGCTCCACTTCTGATCCAGCTCTCTGCTATGGCCTGGGAAAGCAGTAGAAGATGGCCCAAGTGCTTGGGTTCCTGCACCCACATGGGAGACCCAGATGAAACTCCTGGCTTCAGATCAGCCCAGCTGCAGCCATTGCAGCCATCTGAGCAGTAAACCAGCAGATGGAAGATCTCTCTCTGCCTCTGCCTCTAACTCTGTATTTCAAATAAAACTTAAAAAAAAAAAAAAAGACACAGTCTGCTAGTAGTGAACCTACCCCTGCCTTGGGTGTCTATGCTGATCATGGGATCTTGTTGGCCCTGTTTGTTTTATTTTTAATTTATTTGAGAGGGAGGGAGAGAGAGGGAACACCTTACTCCTCTCCCCTATCAAGTTTGTAATGACCTGAGCTGGGCCAGGTCAAAGCCAAGAGTCAGGAACTCAATTCAGGTCTGCCCACGTGGGTAACAGGAGCCGGAAGTCGCCGCTGCTCCTCAGGGTCTGCATTAGCTGGGAGCTGAGTCAGGAGCTGCAACCAGGGATAAAATCCAGGCACTAGGATGTGGGATGGAACATTTTCTCCTCTCTCGGTCAAACATCCGCCCTGTGACCTGTCTTCCTAACTGCTGAGCAGACCGGCTCCCTACAGCAGGTGATCCAGTTCCAAATTCTGATCCCTCCTAGACTTGCCCAAGTCTGTGAAAATTAAAACGGCCCACTGGAGTCTGGCTGTGTCGCAGCTAGCTAAGTGTTCAATCCAGCAGACTGTACTGAGGCTGTGCCTATGTGGAAGCAAGCTGGGGTCCGCGTTCTGGAGATGCATGGAAGACAAATCCGGAGCTTGCGGTGGTAACAGCACAGGAGGGAATTCACCAAGCCTGAACGATGGGATGCAGGCTAAATGCTGATGTGCTCGATGCCCCGCCCTGGCGAGTGGTCAGCTCCTTCCTTCACCTGAGCACTGCACTGTGTCTGGAAACCTGGCTAGGGCAGGTGAGTACCCAGGTGTGCTTCAGTCCACAGCTCAGAGTCAGACACCTGTTCTTCAGCATTAAGGGTTGGCGTATCCCTCTCAGTTTCTCTAGCTTTAAAGTTTTTTTTTTTTAAAATATATAAGAGTTACAGAGAGAGGGAGAGGCAGAGAGAGAACTCTTGCAGCTTCTAGTTGACTCTCCAGATGGACGCAACAGCCAGATCTGGGCCACGCTGAAGCCAGGAGCTTCTTTTGGGTCTCCCTGCTTGCCCAGGTGCACTAGCAGGGAGCTGGATCGGAAGTGGAGCAGTCAGGATATGAATCTGTGCCCGTGTGGGATGCAGGTGTCGCAGGTGGTGGCTTTACCCGCTACACCACTACACCACAACGCCAGCTCTTAAATGTAAAGTTTCCCTGTAGCCCAAGTTGCAAGCCCACAGTAAATTCATAAATATGCTGAAGATTATGTTTTTTTCTGAGGAAATAAGACCGTAGTCCTTCTCAGAGCACTGGGAAGCTGACAGGGCAGTGGCCGTGGCCACACCTTTGTGGCTGCCCTGGGTGAAGGGCATGACCTCATGGACCAGGGTCGTTATGGAAACATGAATCAATAAACTGGCCTTTGTTTTCTGCACTAAACCTCTCACAAGCGTTGAACTGTCTTTTCTTCCAACATGTATTCCATGCTTCTGAAACAGTCAGCTGTGCCAGACTGTTGGCTGCTTGTAGAACCAAGTCGGGAGGGCCTTTCAGGTCTCTACTTTTACTCACTGTCAATCAGATTGGTTATCTCCACCAGGTCGGACATGGTAGTTTGATCTGTGTGTTTTATGATCCGCCCGTTGGATCTGGGGATGCTGATGTCTCCACACTCTAGAAGTTTGGAAATACTTTTGGATGCGGTTCCCGCGATGATGTAACATCTGGACCCAAGAGCATTGTAGATGCTGTCCCACTGTTCAGAGTCCTGGGAGAACATTCAAGAATTGATCATGACAGTCCTGAACAGCCACAAGAAGATCCTACAGCACATGGTCAAAGTCACACACTTTTCCTGATTTACACAAAACAGTTTCTTTTCCCTCTGCGCCTGAGTGGTTCCTGTGTCACAGCCCCGCAAACTTAACTTCTTGGAACAGAAACTCACACTGATGGACTTTGGGCTTAAAGATATTGTGAATGCGTTTCCCACACTGACCATGGAGTTTATCAAAGCCAGACTGTCCTGTCCACCATGTTACCATCATGCTGCTCGAGACCGGACGGTGTGGGACGATGTTCTGGCTTTTCGGATCAACGGAAAACTGAAGCAGAGCCCACAAAGGGTTCTAGGCCCCCTCTCTCAATAGCCTTGTTTTTATTGGTGAGACCACCACATGAAATGAAGCGCTTGTTTAACAAGTTGAATATGTGTGTGTGTGAGACTGTGGTTGTATCAGCACAGCCATCCCGGGTTTCAGCCTGTCCCGTTAGAACCGCTTCCTGTCATTGAACAAAGCTGTGGTCGGAGTATCGGGACCACCGTCAGGCAGTCCAGAACTGGGCTCAGGGGGGGTGTGGCCTCCACTGTGAAGGGCACGTGGGACTGAGAGGCCCCCGGGACTCCAGATACGACCCAGTGTTCACATCGTCCCCAGATCTAAATAGCTGCATTGTCTCAAAGGTGCCATACGATCAGGGTATCTATTGGCTCTCAAATTCATAAAGAATTTAAACTTAGGAGTCTGTTTAAAGTGTGTTAGGAGAACTGGTCTTTTTTATTTTTTTTAAGATTTATTTATTTATTTGAAAGGCAGAGTTAGAGAAAAATATAAAAGAGCTATCTTCCATCCATTGATTCACTGCTCAAATGGCTGAACAGCCAGGGCTGGGCCAGGCCGAAGCAGGAGTCCAGGTTTCCCTCTGGTCTCTGCAGTGAGTGCAGGAGGCCCAAGGACTGGGGCCGTCTTCGGCTGCTTCCCCTCCGTGCCTCAGCGGGGAGCTGGATCAGAAGTGGAGCCGAACCTGTGCCCATAAGGGATGCCGGTGTCACAGGTGCTGGCCTAGCCCGCTGGGCCCTTTAGCAGGCAAACAACCTTTGTCAGAGGTGCCTGTTTGAGTGGATCACACAACCTCAGATCTCAAACCTTTTAGAAGTGTAGCTTTGCCTCGCGACGGAGGTGCCTGCAACCCTCGTTGGCGTGCCCGGGCCCAATTTCCAGCGTGGCTCCTGACTCTGGCTTTCCGGCCAGGGCAGACCTGGGGAGAGGCAGTGGCGATGGCTCAAGTCACTGGGCTCCTGCCACCTGTGAGGGAGACCTGGATTGAGTGCCTGGCACCTAGCCCTGGCCCCTGCCATTGAAGGCATTTGGGGAATGAACCAGTGGACAGGAGTTCTCTCTCTCTGCCTCTCAAATTAAAAAAAAAAAAAAAAAGTTTAAAAAATATGGCTTTATTACTTGTATTCTGAGGTAGTAAGTGGATTTAGGCTAAAAAATGGCCTCCAGAACTCCTTCTCCATGAGCACACGGAAGTGATCTGTGATTAACCCACTGACTCACCACCTGGCACGCAGAGGCGATTTTGCTCAGTTAGCTGCCTGTCAATACCCAAGTACTCCCGCGGGGTTCCCAGTGGCTTGTTTCATTCCACGTGACAGGCACACGCCTGCGTGATTGTGTGCTGCTATTCATGTGCTTAGTAAGCGCCTGTTCTAAATGCCGACATGAAGCAACTCAGCCTCAGCCCAAATTACAACACATTTCAAATGACGGAGCTTTTCCTCTGTTTTGTTATAAAACTGAAAAGGTGCGTTCTGCTTACCTCCTTCCTGAAAGGATCAATTAAGGCGATGATGGCCGGGTACTTGCTGATCAGGTCCACGTACAGGTCAACCATCTCGGCTGCGTTTTTGTATGTGCCCATTGCCACTTCGTACTTTCCTCGACTCTGACAGGTGCAAGGACAGTACCAAAGGGTAACAATGCATTCTCCAAATGCTATAGATGTGATTCAACACCCCCCCCCTCCACCCGTTGGTTTCTTTGAAAGATTTTATTTACTTATTTGAGAGTTAGAGTTACAGAGAGAGGGAGAGACACAGGGAGAGGTCTTCCATCCGCTGGTTCGCTTCCCAAATGGCCGCAATGGCTGAAGCTGTATCGATCCGAAGCCAGGAGCTTCCTCCAGGTCTCCAACACGGGTGCAGGGGCCCAAGGACTTGGGCGATCCTCCATCACCCTCCCAGGCCACAGCAGAGAGCTGGATCAGAAGAGGAGCAGCCAGGACCTGAACCGGTGCCCATATGGGATTCCGGCGCTGGAGGCAAAGGCTTAGCCTACTATGCCACAGCACCGGCCCCTCCTTGGTTTCTTATGAAAGATTGTAATCATCCTTTCCAGGCCACATTCGCCTGAGCAATCTATGCATTTCACCTTAAGTAGCTTATAAATATTAACCTGGGAAGTCAAGTCACGGTTCCTCTTCCCACAGACTTCAGATGCAAGTTGTACAAGAAGACAGCAGGTGCAGAGTAGGAGGGAAATCCTTTCTTGCCTAGATTTAGGCCATGGTGCATAACTGCCACTATACTGACTGCCTGGGCGCATGGACAATAACAAGTTCAAAGAACAACAAACGGAACAGCAGTGCACACCTGCCCACTCACCAGAACTCTCTTTCAACTCCCTGTGACAAACAGCCTGCTTCCTTTAAACACTAAAATCTGAAAGCAGGGCTTTGAGATACGAAATGTAAAGTGATGTATGTAACGGTGTCTTTCCAGGTAGCACACAACGTCTCATAGTAACGGTGTCATCCTGAAAGTAGGCTTCTAGTGGATTCTGTTCACGTGAGGTGTGAAAAGCCCCAGTCGTTATGTATAGGAGAAGACTAGGCCGGCAGATCCAGTTTAGTCTTTCTGAAAACCAAAGCACTTTCTCTTGATTTTTCACGGCAGAAAGAGGGAGGGAGGGAGGGAGGTTGAGACAAAGATGTTCATCTGCTGGTTCACTTCCTAGATGCCTACAGCAGTTGGGGCTTGGGCTGAAGCCAGGAGCCAGGAACTCAGTCCAGGTCTCCCACGTGGGCGGCAGAGACTCAACTCCTTGAGCCGTCACTGCTGTGCGTTCGCAGGGAGCCTGAATCGGAAGGCGAGCCAGGACTTGCTCCTAGGCTCTCTCACAGGGGACGCACGCACCCCAGGTGGACACTTAGCTGCTGTGCAAAGTGCCATCCCCACAAAGCTGCGCACTTTTAAGTCTGTAATCAGGAGTGGCCCCCGGGGTCCTTAGGTGCTGGGAGGGAGATGGGCCCGAGCAGACGGGCTGTTTCCTTTGCTAATGCCTTCCTGCTGCGGCGCTGCTAAGACAACGGACTCCATTGGAAGTAAGCAGGTCCCGAGAAGCCCATAATTAAAGGAAGTTTTTACATTTTTCACAGGAAAAAACAGCAAGAACTTCAGCTGCTTCTATAATACAAAGCTTAAAAATCTTATCTTGTCAGTGAGGAAATACTAATGACTCACATTATGTAAGAATTATCTGATATCAAGCTAATACATTTTACTGCATATAAGCAACAAATACCCATTCTAGTCAGTACTGGCAGTAAGTATATTCATCATTCTCAGTATACGCTGCTGATGGAAACATGCAATTCTTTTTCTTAATGGTATGCCTAGGAACCAATTATTAGGTGAAGAATAGGAAATTAAACATTCCTTTATGAGCTTAGTTTCTTTAGAAAAGTCAAAGAACTTTTAGAAATCAGCTGAAACTTAGATTCTCATGTACATTTTCAGAAGTTCCTTTATATTTAAAGTAAGAATCACAGTTAAAGCAGAATCCCGTGCAGTCGTGGCCCCTAAACATGATAAATGTTATCAAATCACTATAAATGCATGCCAGAATGCTGGGCATTTGAGAAAGCTTAGCATTTCCGTATCCGAAAATAGAAAATATATGTGTGTATAAGAGAACTGCTAATAGATTTTCTAGCACCAGTTTCTCAAGGACTGGGAACATATAAAAGTTTTCCTTCCTTCCTTTCTTCCATCTTTCCTTCCATATTTTTGAAAACCAGAGACTGAGATCTTCTATTAGCTGGTTCACCCCCCAAATGTCCACAGCAGCTGGGCGTAGGCCAGGCCAAAGCCAGGAGCCTGACACTCAGCCCAGGTCTCCAGCGCTTGAGTCACCCCCTGCTGCTTCCCAAGGTGCACACGAGCTGTAATCCGAAGCCAGCTCGAACCAGGGCACCCCAATATGGGATGTAGGTAACCCAAACGTCTTAATCACTGCTCCAAACACCTGCTACAGAACATTTTCAATGAATCTGTTTCCATTCACTTTCTTTTTAAAATAGGAAACTTCAAAAAGTCTGTGGAATAACACATAAGTTTAGTACAAAACATTAAAACCCCATGCAAACAGTCTGCTCAAAGCTCATGGAAAATGGCTGTTATGGAAATATGGCATATGGATTTTACATTTCCACCAAAATAAACTATCTTTTAGCTTCACTTTTCCACAGACTTTTTGAAGTCCCCATGTTGCTCGCTCTCTGCAGGTGGCGTCTCCCAGGTGAGGTGTCACCAGTGAGGCTGTGTCCTCCTCAGGTCACGCTCAATACTGTGATGCATTGAGTCAGATTGAAAACGCATTTGTCATAAATTTCAATCACTTGGGAATATTTTTATATGTGAAAAGCACAAACACTAAGAAGCACACATCTAGAAGTCTACCAAGTCACAGGTAAACCACCCCGCTTCGCATGCTTGTCTAACTCAGTTTTTACGAAATGACTGCACACACAAAACATACCAGGTAACTTATTGGGCAGTAGCTCTCATGAGGACAGTGTAGCAACCCATCTTCCATTAGCTAACTTGACTTTCTCAACTCCATTTATATTTGGTTCCCTCACACCATATTAATTAAAAAAAAAAGACCAATAGGATTGGTTTGGAAAATACTCAGATGAGCTCTGCTTTTAAGTTCTGAGTTAAAACTCCTGGACCTAAACCAGAAGAGAACATTCTGCAGTGGAAACTTACATAGTCCATCAGCTCATGGCCAGCACAGTTGATGGCTAAATGCAGATCTGTTCCCAGCTCCAGCTCCAGGCTGGCACAGATGCCCTGTAGTAGAAGCAGCGGCTGCTCTATGGTGTCACAGTTAACGGTTAAACAGCCAAGATGGGTCATCTTTCCGGTGATGGGCTGCTGCAAGAAGGAAAGACACGGAGGCGTCAGTACAGCACGCTCGGTCCACGGAGCATCCTGGGACAGGCACAGGGTGACCGGACTCTGCTCCCCAAAGGGCAGGTCCTGTGCTGCCACACCAATCCCCCCTCCAGGTCCGACTCCCGGGACTTTGGGCGTACAGTTCCCCCGGTTTTCTTATTCCCAACATTTTCCAGGTTTGATCTGGGACCAGCTTTCTCTCTCTTCTAATATTTTGTTTGTTTATTTGATAGAGTTATATATAGAGAGAGGGAGACAGAGAGGTCTTCCATCCACTGGTTCACTCTACAGATGGCCTCAATGGCCAGGGCTGGCCTGGGCCGAAGCCAGGAATCGGGAGCTTCTTCTGGGTCTCTCATATGGTAGCAGGGTCCTCAAACACTTGGGCCATCTTCTGTTCTTTTTCCAGATGCATTAGCAGGGAGCTAGATTGGGGAGCAGATAGCACACGAACTGATGCCCATATGGGATGCCAGTGTTGCAGGTGGTGGCTTAACCCACTACGCCACAGCACCGGCCCCACACTTTTCTTGTTAGTATAGCTATTTGTCTGTCAGCTCTGCCATTGCAGTGGGGGCGGGGTGCTAGCCTGAGCCGAGCCACCTGGCTTGCGAGTGTCCAGTCTATCCCTGTAAAGAGCCATTCAGCCCACCTAATGCTGCCAGTCCTCCCAAACCTGCCTTTTTCCTGTGGTCTGGTTTCCTCCAGGCAAACATGACTGGTAAAAATGTCACCCTCCTTTAGGAAAAAGTGCTGTTTTTAAAAGTGTTGAAAACTCTGGCAGAAAGGACACAAGACTGAGGACGAATTTCAGCAGAAGCTCTGGGGATGCCAACGACCCCGGGAAAGGCACGCGCTGCTCCCGCCAAGTCCGCTTCGGTGTGCGCTCGGTGGGCACTGCGACCTGCACAGCTGGAAGCTGAGGCAGCCTCTGTGGTTCTGGGCTTGAAACTCACATGTTTGTAGAGTTCATGGGCTCAAGAACAAGCATGTACGGGGAGAAATGTTTTCTGTTTTCTAGTAACAGCAAGTTAATTATAAAACCCAGCCAATGGTTTCAATATCAATGAGAGGAAGCTTTTATTCCTACAACAAAGGAATAGGTGGGACAATTTTTTGTCTATCGATGGAGCTTCATTACCTAATCTTCTAAATTACGAAAGCACTTACTTGGTGCTTCCTAAGTGGTGGGTCTCATCCTACGCATGTCACGTGAATAAAATTCATTCACTCCTTACACCAACCCCTGAAGCTCGTACCATGACTATGTTCATTTCACAGGGAATATAGTTGACCTGGAACAGATTTTAATCTGGGAAATTTGACTGCAAGAGTCTACGCCCCTGACTCTGGTGTGGTTGCTCCTCTAGACTGTAACCTCTAACCCGCTCCTACCAGGGCAAAAGACAGCAAGCTGATCGTGAGAAGGGCTGGGCTTGGTCTGAGAGCCTCAGAACACAGGAGACAACCTGCGGACTGGAAGGAACAGCACTGCGAATCACTGCTCCTTCGCCATCCCCAGCCCCCTTGCAAAGCCTAGGGTTAGGAGTGTTGCACTCACTCTGCCATAGACAGCTATCAAGTATCTGACGTCCTGCTGTGTCTGCTCCTGTCTCTTGTTTCTTGAGTTTCCCTGTGTTGAGAAACTACATTTCTCTTTACCAAGGCCTCTATTTTCCTAGCCCCTCTTCTCTTGAGCTCCCCAGATTCCGCAGTCCCTGATGGGAGAGCAGAGCTAAGATTTCTGGCTTTCAGAGCAAATCCTGCAGATGGGAGCAGCCTCCACTCACATGCATCATCTCCTGGATTCTCGCGGACTGTTCCGCTTGTACTGTTGACAGCCTGGGCACGTAGCAGGTCATGGCAGGGTACCCACCATCACCAAAGAGATGGGCCAGTCAAGCTCAGATGTTTCCCAGGGCTCCCAGGCCAGCGTGGTCATTTGCACAAGGAGGAATGTTTGTCAAATCTGAGTTCCTACCCGTGGTTCATCTGAAATGGTGCTTTGGTGCCTTTTGGGGACCAGATGGAAAGAATGGCCTTCTTTTTGCCCCTTTTCAGGCTCACTTTGGCAGTAGTAAAACGAAAGCCTAAAGCACGCTATCCACCTTTAGCTGGTTACCAGGAGGTTCAGCTCCCCATACGCTTCACCTACAGGGTCAAAGGCCACCCTCCGACTTGTAAACGCTTCCAAGCCTCAGATTTTAGCTGGACAGGCAACTTTTGGCAGTGATGGCCAGTTGCCTGGAAGACGGGGATTAGTGTTCATGGAGCAATGTGGGGAGCAAACCGGACTAGACTGTTACTGGAATTAAGACTTATTCTATGCATCTGCTCTCCCACAATATGGCGCTGGGAGAGAAGTAAACAGCTTCCGCACAGCTGCCTCCAGTTCAACCAATTAACTGTAGGACTTGCTCCTGATTGGAGGAGAGCAGCGTACTCGGCGTGTGGGCAGCCAAGTTGGGATTGGCGGAGGAGGACTATAAAGGAGGAGAGAGACAGCATGCACCAGGAACATCTATGGGGAACATCTAAGGGAACCCGTGCAGCCCCTGAAGAAAGCCGGCCGGCGGTGTGCCGCTCCCCTGCGGAAGTGGGGAATGTGGCCAGGGGGAACTGCCCTTCCACGGAGGTGGAAGGGATAGTAGCCAACCCGGGAAGAACCAGCAGCAAACCCGGGGAGGGCCGAGCAGACGAAAGAACAGCGCAGAGTCCTGTGTTGCTCCTCCACGAAGACGGGGAGCGACATAATGGTGCCGTGACTCGGATATGAAGCCTAGGCAGGGTTTAGTGTCGTTCCCCCACGAAGACGGGGAGCGACATAATGGTGCCGTGACTCGGAATAGGAAACCTAGGACGGATAGGAAACTTAGGAGGGGAGAAACGGGAAGAAGCAGGAAAATACCGGAGAGAGAGACTAGCAAAGAGCCTAGGGGAAAGCCGGACGAGAAAGGTGCCGGAAGAAGCTATTGAAAGCCTAGGCATAGACTTGGATATGGACTGTGGGAAAGAAGTTAGGATTGAAAGTGAAAGTGAAAGCTTTCATAGACTCGGATGCGGACTATGGCGGGGAAGCTAGGAGACTGAAAGCGAAAGTGAAACCTGGAGGAGGCTTGGACTCGGATACGGACTGTGGGGAGAAGCCAGGAGAAATGAGAGGAATATTGTTGGAAGAAAACTTAGGGAAACATACCGGGTAGAGAAAAATGTTAGGGAAATTGAAGCCGCGGGGGGCAGGCCGAGGCGGAAACGAAAGCCACTTTGGGATTCTCAAGTTAGCCCGGGAATAGGGGGCGAAAAGTTGAAACCAGAAGCTGAGACGCAAGCCAGATTGGGATCCGTCTGATTAGCCCGGGGAGCAAAGGACGGGAAGCCAAACCGTGGGGCGGAGACGTACGCTGGGTTGAATTCGCCAGGCTAGCCCGGGGAACTTGGATTGAATGCTAGTGGTGGAGACGCAAGCTACGCTGTGTTACTCGCGGAAGCCGCCGCGTGCAGAGAGAGCACGGGGCGTGAATAGATAGGGAACGCTGGCGTAGGCCGTGGTTCAGACGCGAAAGGGTTAAGCGTGGAGACCGCGGAGCGGGAGCGCGCGAAGCCTAGCCGCGCAAAGCCGGGAAGCTGCGCAGATGAGAGAGGCGCGCGGGCTGAAGCGGCGCAGAGCCGGGAACCCGCCGGCGGGGCGAGGTGCCGGAAAGCTGCGGGGATAAGAGAAACAGAAGTTTTAGAAGTAAAGTGAGAGAAATAGGAATGCTGGCAGACAGAAGTAAAATGGGAGAAATAGAAATGCCCGGAGATAGAGAAATAGAGAAAAATAAGGCCTCCCCTCAACATGCCAATTAGAAGGCTTGGATTCGGTCTGCCCGATTAGTGAGGCAATGAGTACCTGGGCGGCTAGCCGCAGGTCACCGAAGACAGGCACGAATTAACATCAGTAAAGCTTCCCCACAATGCAACAATTAGGAGGCTTGGATTCGGTCTGCCTGATTTAAGGCGGTAAGCGCCAGCAAAGCTCGACCAGAGTATGAGCTGCAGGTCACCGAAGATAGGCACGAACCAACACTAATAAGTCTCCCCCACAATAAGGCAATGAGAAGGCTTGGATTCGGTTTGCCTGATAGGTCTTGTAAGTCCCCTGCAGGCAGAGCAGAGCATGCACTGCAGGGCACCGAACACAGGCACGCATCAGCGCCTAAAAACCTCCTCACAATGGCGAAGAGAGGACCCGGATTCGGTTTTCCTGATTGATAGGACTTGTAAGAGCCTGTGGCAACTCTAGCAAGTAGAGCAGAGTGTGTGCTGCGGGACACCGAAGACAGGCGCGTATCAACGCCAAAAATAAAAAGAAAGGGGGATCTGTGGGGAGCAAACCGGACTAGACTGTTACTGGAATTAAGACTTATTCTATGCATCTGCTCTCCCACAATATGGCGCTGGGAGAGAAGTAAACAGCTTCCGCACAGCTGCCTCCAGTTCAACCAATTAACTGTAGGACTTGCTCCTGATTGGAGGAGAGCAGCGTACTCGGCGTGTGGGCAGCCAAGTTGGGATTGGCGGAGGAGGACTATAAAGGAGGAGAGAGACGGCATGCACCAGGAACATCTATGGGGAACATCTAAGGGAACCCGTGCAGCCCCTGAAGAAAGCCGGCCGGCGGTGTGCCGCTCCCCTGCGGAAGTGGGGAATGTGGCCAGGGGGAACTGCCCTTCCACGGAGGTGGAAGGGATAGTAGCCAACCCGGGAAGAACCAGCAGCAAACCCGGGGAGGGCCGAGCAGACGAAAGAACAGCGCAGGGTCCTGTGTTGCTCCTCCACGAAGACGGGGAGCGACAGAGCAATATCACTGTATAAATTCTGTTTTCCTGAGCTCTGGCCTCGGAGCAAAATGACCATGGGAGAGAAAACAGGAATCTGTCCCTGCTGTCATCGTTTGCTGGGTAAACAATCAGGCATACTCACTTGACCCTTCTTGTTCCCGTTGTGTCCTTTTTTGGTCTCGGCTTTTGGAGGAAGAGGCTGTGAGACAGGAAATAAAAATATCACTTGGGATTTTTGGACATGTGTGTGTCAACAAATGGTTTAGGTCTCTGGCCTGTCCACTGCTCCAGGGCTCTGCCAGTCCCGTGTGAATCTCATACACACTCACACACAAACACATGGCATGCACACGTAACACACAAACGTGGATGACGCCAGCCACACCCTATTTTCATGAGCTCCAAGGATTCCTCAAATTCAGGATCATGTTCTCCTCAGCTCCTTCTCACCTTCTACCCCTCGTCACACACATGGGCGTGCACCCATCCTGCCGGTGCAGCCAGTCTGTTTTGCAGGGGGGCACACATTCCCTCCTTGCCCTTGAGAAGTCACGCCCCGGTGGGCCTAGCTTTTACAGGCCCCACACCCTGTTTTGAATATCCTGATGTTACACTGTCTCCTGCAGGCTGGATTTGACTTTCAGAAACCCGAAGACCACTGAATCTGGTCAATCTGGTGGGCATAATGGCACTGGAAGTTAAAAGCCAAGATCATTCCAAAGAGGCAGCCCTCTTTGGAATACCTCTTTTTAATACCCAACTTTTGGGGTATTATGTGGGGAGCAGCCCGGACTGGACTGAGTTACTGGAATTAAGACTTATTCTATGCATCTGCTCTCCCACAATATGGCGCTGGGAGAGAAGTAAACAGCTTCCGCACAGCTGCCTCCAGTTCAACCAATAAACTGTAGGACTTGCTCCTGATTGGAGAGCAGCGTACTCGGCGTGTGGGCAGCCGAGTTGGGATTGGCGGAGGAGGACTATAAAGGAGGAGAGAGACGGCATGCACCGGGAACATCTAAGGGGAACATCTACCTGAGGAACACCTGTGCAGCCCCCGAGAGAGCCGGCCGGCGGTGTGCCGCTCCCCTGCGGAAGTGGGGAATGTGGCCAGGGGGAACTGCCCTTCCACGGAGGTGGAAGGGATAGTAGCCAACCCGGGAAGAACCAGCAGCAAACCCGGGGAGGGCCGAGCAGACGAAAAGAACAGCGCAGGGTTCTGTGTCGTTCCTCCATGAAGAGGGGGAGCGACAGTATTAAATGCCTATGGTGCAAGGATTTAGTTCCCCTTCCCCGGGATATACTTTAATGCCCAACATTAACTGGCTCTATAAGCTGGGATGTGTTTGTCAAGAATTGGTCTGGCTCACGTGTATTTCATATGAAACACAATTATCTTGTTTCTTTTCATGGTGGAGCCCTCTCAGTTTTCCGTCTCCTGGTACAACACTAATTCAGGAAGCAAACTGATGTGCCAGGCGGGAGAAACCAGTGACGACTGGTTTCTTGCTCTGGTATCTCGGCTCCACCCTGACGGGGAGGGACTCATGCTTCCTCGTGCTACACCCAGTGTGGGATCCTGCACTGGATCCTCGCCTAGAAAAGTGGCATTCATGGGAAAATGAGTGAACTCTGAAGGCTGTAGAGTAGGCAGCAGTAATGTGTCATTTTGGTTTTGACAAATGTGCCACACACTGTATCATCAACATGGGGGCAAAAGGAAGGATATTTGGGAACTCCACAGTATTCTGTAAGCTTTCTGTAAATGTAATGCTCTAAAATATCAATTTGTCTTTTTGTTCCAAAAAGCACCACAGACAAGGCCTGGGTCCCTTCCTTGGCTGCAGGCCTGCATATCACCATGTGCTGGCCTAGTTAGAATATCTTGGGACAACCGGTGACTCCTACACCTGCTTCCCATTGCCCTAGTTAGCATATCTTGGGACAACCTGCGACTCCTATACCTGCCTCCCATCCTTCCTCTGTGACTTGCCTGAGACTGCTACACTGCCAAGGGCCCTTGTTTGCCCAGTGCTTGGATTCAAACCGGGCACAGGAGTGCACTCCACAATGCCTCTGACATCCTTGGGGCCAAATCCTTTCCTTCTTTGTAAGTTCTTAGCACAGAAAGCAAAATGAGACTGTGAACTACCTTAGAAATTGGACCCACAGCCAGTGAGGAAATGTGTACACTTGGTTTAGAGGGAAAGCCCCAAACACATAAATGCATTTTCCATACCAGCATTAGCAAAATGAACCACAGGTTGGCCACCAGATGGTATAGAACTGTCAGCAACCAGAGCCTGGCGGACTTCCCCACATACCGTATCGGCTGTCCTGTTGACATGTTTCTGAATTTCCAGAAGCATTTCCACACCCTGTAAGTAGAATCATCACCATCATCTTCCACAGTCCAGTCTAGACATTTTAAATATTAAGAAATCACACCCCACAAGGCTATTTCTAACTCAGACTGAGGTGCAGAGTGCCTGCTGAGTGGATGGTGCGAGCTCCCACGTCACAGCTTCAATCTTCGCCCCCGGCTTGCTTTGGCGGAGTAGGGGTGAGAGGCTGTGCCTGCTCAGTAGTCTCTCTTCACTGAACACAACCGCCCGCTTCATCGGTTGCATCACACCGGCTTTATTCTCTTTCGTGTCTCTCAGCTAAGCTGGGTGACCTTCTTGCTGTGCGAGTTACGGGTCACCAAGGAGTCTAGATTAGACAGGCTCCATCCGTATAAACCCACTGGCACTTAAAGAGTAGAAAAGTGTGTTGCTGATGATGAGATCCGCACACAGAGACAGATGAAGAACGGCTGGCTGGTGCCCTGCTGCCCAAATAGCACACAAGACCTTAATTAAAGGAAAGATCCTGGCACCAGGACCTGGGCATGGCCCACCAGATAGCAACCCTCGTCACTGCAATTAAGTTGTGAGATGATTTTGTTTAGAATGGAATTATGAGGGCCGGCGCCGCGGCTCACTAGGCTAATCCTCCACCTAGCGGCGCCGGCACACCGGGTTCTAGTCCTGGTCGGGGTGCCGGTTTCTGTCCCGGTTGCCCCTCTTCCAGGCCAGCTCTCTGCTGTGGCCAGGGAGTGCAGTGGAGGATGGCCCAAGTTCTTGGGCCCTGCACCCCATTGGAGACCAGGAGAAGTACCTGGCTCCTGCCATCGGATCAGCGCGCTGGCTGTGGCGGCCATTGGAGGGTGAACCAACGGCAAAGGAAGACCTTTCTGTCTCTCTCTCTCTCTCACTGTCCACTCTGCCTGTTAAAAAAATAAAAATAAAAATAAATAAAAAAATAAAAATAAAATAGAATGGAATTATGAGGAAATGACCTTGAGATTTCCTTTAGCGATTTACACGGACTAGGTAAGACACCACTTGATGCCTTGCCACAGGGGGATTGCACTTTTTGTGGAAACACCCCCTATAAAACGGGAACCTTGCATTCTCCCTAATGTCCAACGGTAGAAGATTTCAGGACGATTCAAAGAGGCACGGGGACTCTTGAGGCCACTGAAGAGCAACGCAGACAAGAGCACGCCTCTGAGTGGTGGCGATGTGACTGAGGGTCCCTTCATTCCACAGACGCCTCCTAAGGGCCAGGCGACGCGCTGGCCATGGAGGTCCCACTGGGTACGGTGAGGTCGCTGGGAAAGCGCCAGCTTCCACCTGCCGCTGCCGTAGGGCACGGAGCAGCCATCCCATCCCCACAGAACAACCTGCTGCACTGCTTCCGGACTGCAGAGCCACGGGTGCCTGGCTTCTCTGCAAGTCGCTAGCGTGAGCCAGTGCTGTGAGGAACCAGACATCCAAGGCCGTGAAATGTTTCCCTTAGGGAAGGTCTTGCTTTCTTCCCACTGCCCCAATTTCCTAAAATAGTTTCCCTCATTTCACATTTCATTCCCTCTCCCTTCGCTTCTCACTAAAAACCTATCAGTGAGTGTTTGTCTTCAGAAAGTCAGCTGAGATCATGGGAGGTACTTGTCTGGTTGTTAATCCGGGATGGGGAATACAAATCACTTCTTTCATTAGATTGAGCTTTCCAGGCGACGACTTCCCACAGCTGATCAGAGCGACCATCAGCAAAGGCATGGTGAGCAGTGCTGGCTCCTCCTGCAACAGGGAGAGCAAGGGCACGTGAGAAACACGGCTCATTGCATTGAGGTTCTCATGGTTCCTCGTAATGGAATCCAAAAGATACGAACCTGACCGTGCTTCAGAGATGCAATATTTAGGTAGAGGGGTCTGTTGCCCAGTATGGCACTGGTTTTGGCAACAGCCAGTGACACGGCCCCTATGGCCATACTGCCATAGAACACAGGCTCAGCAGGTTCTGCAGGTATAATGGGTTTCTCTGTAAGAGTTTCTTTCCTCCCTGGAGAGAAAAACATTGAGAAGATATTTCTTTCTGGGAAGTTCGGCTATAAGAAGAGTGTATATTTCAATGCTTAACTTAGAGACGGGAAGCCCCAGCCAAAAGAAAGGATGAAACTGAAGCTGAGAAAAGCATACTGTCTCCCTGACGTCCCAAGTTTTCTGTTTGTCTTCACTTGCCAATGCTGAAATAACCCTTCACCATAGTTCAGCCTTCTTATGATATTCTAGGCCAATCAGTGTCTTTTCTACAATTCTATGAGGTACACTTTGTTATCTCATGTTCACATGTAACAGAAATCGGATGAAGAGAACTGGGCAGCCTCACAGCCCATCCTGCGTGCATCTCTATCCCCCTACCCGCGGCACACTCTACTTTCTGCTGAACAGCTTTGCTACCTCGCCCTTTCCCTGCCAGCCTCTAACCAGTGCTGCGTTCTAGATGGTCTCCCATCTCTAGAAATGCCTCCCAGATCCTTCCCTCTATCCAGAATCCTTCCCCATCTCCCACTTCAACATCTTCTCAGCCACCTGCGTGGTCAGGTGCCACACAGTCCACCATACGCTTCTCGGGTGCCTCCACAGCCACTGGCCGGGCTCGAGCCCTTGGTGGAGAAGAGGCATGGAAGCGCCTGGTACATGGTAAGTGCTTAGCAAATTACTGTCCCCTACTAATTCCCTTCTCTAAGGCCAGGGTTCTGTCCGCCAAAAGCAACATAAATGGACGTGCCTTTGTGGTCTCTGCCTGTACCTAGGCAGTGGCCATCTCACCCTGTTGAGAGAAGGCTGGTCTAACAACTCTTGCCTTAGGCAATTCTCTTCCCTACTCAGGGCATCAGCATCCAAACTGATAAAATAAGAGACGGTGTCTCCAGGGTCTTTCTGGTCCCGCCCTAGTTCTGGTGCTTTCTTATTCAGTAGACCCAGTTCTGGGGCTTTCTTATTCACTGGACACCCCCATGCCTGTGAGCATTCAGCTGTGCTTGGCGTCACGCTGGGCACTGACATTGGCAGGTTGAAGAGGTCTGACTTATGCCCTCAAGGCCCGTGCTCCGTTTTGACGGCTGTCTGGAACACCCTTACACCATTACAACAAGCTTCAGACTGAACAAACTGGAGGGGCTGAGGTTAACAATCTGCTAGAAGGCATAGAGCCAAGGGCAGGCTGAACCAATAACTTCAATTATTTGTATTAACATAGCAAAGTTTTCTAAGGAAAATGTGTGTGTGTTGCATAGGACTGAGAAAATGTCAGTTGCACATATCGGAGGATCGACGTTCGTTAGACTATGGAGTGGCTGTCTGATGAGGTACTGACGCTTCCAGGGAGCTGCAAGGTCCCTAAGCCAGCGCACCCTCACTCCACTCCACCCTGTGCACTGCCACCATTCCCTGTCTTTAATGAGTGTTCGTCTGTAGGTGAGAAGTCATCTTCGCTTGCAAATAAGCATGGATGGGGGAGCCCTGCCCCCATCCACAGAGCAGCTCCAAGCAAGGAGGCGGCGTGGAGAATGGATGGCACCTGGCCGGAAGCCGAGCTTGGGCCTGCAGCAGAGGCTTGGAAAGGCACCACAAGCTGTGGCCCTGCTTCCCCACACATATCTTGCCAGGGTTAGTGATGTCACTTAACTTGCTTTTGTGGCTTCTTTTTTGTAGGAGGTGCGGGGGGTGGGGGTGGTATTACAGGTGCAGGTATAGACACTGTTGAGTTTTCCAGGTTCTTTTCCAATTCTTTTTTCTCCTTCTCTTCTTGTACTTTATTTGCAAAGAATGTCCTAATGGCAAGAAAACAGGGTTTTACAATGGGATAGCTACAGGTATCATGGTCATTTTGGTCACGCTGTAGAACTGACCACAATGTGCTTCAATCATTAACTCTACTTTTTAGCTATTTAAGAACAAATCCGCTTCAATTTCCAATGACGTTATTATAAAACTGTGTTCAAGAACTCAAATTCATTTTGGCCTGGAAAATACTTAAACATTTCAGGTGCTCATTTTTGAAATTATTTGAACTCTGTTTGCATATTTTTAAAGATTTATTTATTTGAAGGCAGAGTTAGAGAGAGGGAGAGACACAGAGAGAGAAATTTCTATCCACTGGTTCAACCCCAGATGGCCACAAAGCCCAGAGCTGGCCCTGGCTGAAGCCAGGAGCCAGAAACTTCATCCAGGTATACCACATGGGCGGCAGTGGCTCAAGTACTTGCGCCATCTTCTGCTCCTTTCCCAGGCGCATTAGCAGGGAGCTGGATTAGAAGTGGAGCAGCCAGTACACAAACCGGTGCCCATATGGGATACCAGTGTTGCAGGAGACGACCTAACTTGCTACAACACAACCCTGTCCCCCGTTTGCGTTTTTAAAGTAAAATTTGAATACATCATTTGTTCGGGATATCTAGATGTTCTTTTTATGAAAATAACCATCAGAAAACAAAGACACTAAGAACAGACAGTGAAAAATTGCATTATGTGGAGGATGTTTTTAGGGGAACTTAAAATGACTCGTTAAAATAACTTTTGGGGGCTGGCATTGTGGTGTAATGGGTAAAGCCATTGTCACCTGCAGTGTCAGCATCCCAAATGAGCACTGGTTTGAGTGTTGGGCTGCTCTACTTCTGATCCAGGTCTCTGCTATGGCCTGGGAAAGCAGCAGAAGATGGCCCAAGTCCTTGGGCCCCTGCACCCACATGGGAGACCCAGAAGAAGCTCCAGGCTCCTGGCTTCAGAACAGCACAGCTCTGGCCATTGTGGCCAATTGGGGAGTGAACCATTGGATGGAAGACCTCTCTCTCTCTGCCTCTCCTTCTCTCTCTGTGTAACTCTTTCAAATAAATAATCTTTTTTAAAAAAGATTTATTTTATTTATTTGAAAGTCAGAGTTACACAGAGAGAGGTCTTCCATTCACTGGTTCACTCCCAGATGGCTGCAATGGCTACAGCTGTGCCAATCCGAAGCCAGGAGCAAGGAGCTTCTTTCAGGCCCCCATGCAGGTACAGGGGCCCAAGGACTGGGCCATCCTTCATTGCTACCCCAGGTCATAGCAGAGAGCTGGATGGGAAGAGGAGAAGCTAGGACTAGAACTGGCACCCATATGGGATGCCGACGCTTTAAGCCAGGGCTTTAACCCTGCTGCGCCACAGCGTAGGACCCTCAAATAAATAATCTTAAAAATATATAGCTTTTGTGAAATCCTCCATGCGTATATGTAAATAAGAGTTCAGCCTCTAAGAATAAAAAGAAGCTGGAAGCTTCCAAAGACAAAACATAAGCGAATAAAGAGAAAAAGCAGATATGAGAATCAAATTTGCATCAAACAACAACCAACAACCCAGATGCGCATGGGACAATGGCTTTAAAGTATTCAAGGACTTTGATTTCAACAGCGAATCCTACATTCAGGAAAACCACCAACATGAGGGCAAAGAACTGACATCTGCACACATGTAAGAACTTAAAGACTACACTGCGGTTGCAGCTTAGCCTAGTGGTTACGATGCCTGCATCCCACACTGGACTGCCTAGGTTGGACTCCCTGCTCCTTCTCCTGACTCCAGCTTCCTGCTAACATGGACCAACGGAAGCAGGCGCGATGGCGCAAGTAATTTGGTTTCTGCCACTGGTGTAGGAAACCATGACCAAGTTCCCAGCCCTAGGTTTCAGCCCTCCTCTTGCCCCCAGCTGTTGCCTAGAGAGTGAATTAGCTTGGGAGCTCTGTCTCTCTCCTCTCAAATGAATGAATGAACTGAAATAAAGCTTTGCATCTCACGTGTCCTTTCTCATTTTCACTTTCAGCAAATCAGGAAAGAGGAAGATGCGGGCTCCAGAAACAAGAGGAAAAAGGACGCTTCCGTGGCATTTCTGTAGGCCTAGAAAGGAAGCAGCCCAGAGGCACAGTTTGGGAACTGAAAACTCCAGGGAGAAAGAAAGGTAACAGAAGGCGTGACTGACGTCTTGGGGGTAAAAAAAAAAAAAAAAAAATAGCAGAGAAGGCCAAATTAAAAATAAATAAGTAGGGACCAGCACTGTGGCATAGTAGGTTAATCCTGCACCTGTGGCACCCGCATCCCATATGGGCACTGGTTCTAGTCCTGGCTGCTCCTCTTCTGATCTAGCTCTCTGCTATGGCCTGGGAAAGCAGCAGAAGATGGCCCAAGTCCTTGGGCCCCTGTACCCACGTGGGAGACCCAGAGGAAGCTTCTGGTTCCTGGCTTCAGATCGGCGCAGCTCTGGCCATTGCAGCCATCTGGGGAGTGAACCAGTGGATGGAAGACCTCTCTCTCTCTCTGCCTCTCCTTCTCACTGTCTGTAACTCTACTTTTCAAGTAAACACATAAAATCTTTAAAAAATAAATATATAAGGAGTCACATTTAGAAACTCCCAAGAAAATTTCAAAAAACTATTCAAAAACATTATCACAAAAGTCACCACTAAACTCTGAAGCAAGGTAAAACGTGACATCGTGCACACTTAAGCAAGTGCTAAAGCTTAAGGAAGGAGAATCCAGTTGAGCTGTATGGCCAAGAGGGTTGTGGCACTGGACCTGCACAAAAGGAAAAGTAACTCTAACCCATGATTTTTCTGGGCACAGCCAAATACTTATAAACACTTACATGGCCTTTGCAACCACAGCTCCCATGGTTTTCACATTTTAGAGTGAACCCACGGGTTGTAGTGGGAGGACAGGATGTGCCAGCCACCAGGACCACATGAGCATGTGAGAAGCCAGAGGTGGCACATGGGGCGGGGGGTGGGGGGCCCATCATCCTCAGTTGATCAAGCTCTCGACTGGATCCTAGGAAAGTGCTGAGCATGAAAAAGAACTGAAATGCGCCTCGTGGCCTTCCACAGTGGATTTCAGCAACACGGTTTGCAGAGAGACAAAACTATTTCACATTAAATTTGCTGCTTTCACTTAAGCTTCTTGCAGCAACTTCCCCACTGCAGAGAGTCCGAGACCCATTTTTCTGGCAGGTGAGGTGGGGAGACAACCGTCCCGGTTTTACCCTTGGCGCTGCTCTTTCCCGGAGGAAGCCGGACCTGAGCGTGTGATCCACGTCCACCTGGCTGGAGGGCTCCACGCCCTGCAGCTCCTCCGTGAGGCTCCGGTTGACCCACTGCACTGCCGTGCTCACCGCCTGGTTCCTCTCCGCTTCCTCCGCCTCGGCCAGCTCCGGCAGCGCGTTCTCGTGGACTTCGAAGTGGGTCGGGACCACCACGGAACAGATGCTCTGCAAACAGCATAAATGTGCCCCACGTTTTCCCTACCTCTTGCGGAAAATAGGAAATTGAATTAACTCAGCTTTTTGATGGGCATGATATTTTATCACCCATTTCAAGGGGAAAATGAGAACATGTACTTTTCTCTGAGATATTTTTAGAGCTGTTGAAGCACTATGGAACTCGGCTTCATTGAACACTTAAAGTGATTACCCGGTTAAAACACCCTTCTAGAAACCCGGCCCTGAACTTCACTTTTCTGACTACCTCTCCAATAAATAACTACAAGCATAGGAACAGAGTGAATCCTAATATTATCTTCCCAGAGATGGCAACAAAATTATTTCTAACAAATATGCCGCAAAGTGAATTGTTCAAATTATTAAAATGAATTTTCTTTATATAAGCTAGTCTGTTTATAAATCACTATATATGAATCTGTAGACCTATATGTTGATCTGCAGAACTCATCACTTGGATAATGTCCAAGGTTTAGCAGGACATTAAACAGGTTTGCCTCATTTTCCTTCTCCATGTTGGACCATGTGCAGATTAGCATGTCATGTATGTATCAAAATTACACTTGACCATAGTAAAGCCATCAAGAGTAGTTGCATGACTCGTGCTTACATGATTGCCTGTGAATGCATGGCAGATACACTGCACAGACACTGAATTTCCACGCATCGATTGTCTGCAGTGTAGGTAAGAGTTGCTAATACACGCAGTGGAACCAGAACATACTGAAGAGCACAGGGAAACTGCTTCATACCTTGGGGAAGTTTTGAACAGTGCAGAAAATTTCCACTTGCAGGGTAGGAAGCCCCAGTCCATCCAGAATACTTTTTCCCACTATTCTGCATATGGTGGGAGGCTTTGCAAGTTTAGAAAAACAGTTGGCCTTTAACACACACATACACAGAGAGAAAACACAGAAATCACAATATGGCATCTCACTGATGTGCCCAAGGGCATTCACGGGTGCCCTGGTTCCCCCCACTCCTCTCCTGGAGTGTCCGTCCCGGGGCCAGAGCTGAGCTGACAGGCACTGCTCGCCCTCCCGTGCTGAGGTTCGGGGCAGCCCGATGCTGAGTCTCCCGTACTTGGGGACAAGTTGTTGTCTGTTGGGCTCACAGCAGAAGCTCATACACTTTTCTTAGTGTGGAGGCCCTGTGTCATCTAATTTGGCAGGCATCTTGCAGTCATCTCAATTCCCTAACCCACCTCTCTGGCCAGCGTACAGAAATGCAGGCATTCCCGAATGCAGTGATGCGTTCAGAGTTAAGAAACCTGAGGTGGGCTGGGATTTATTCCTCCCAGCACAAGGCATCTGATACTTGGTGAAGACATTCAGCAGCTCTTCCTCACTTCCCATTGGCTCATACGTGGTCCCTTGTGTTCGAAGAGCCAGACCGGCAACCTTAGTAACAGCCATTCCATTGATGTGGAAAAGCAGAGACCTTTGGGAGAGATCTAAGAAAGGGACCAAAGAAAGAAGAGGAGGCTGATAGAGAATGCGCACTCCACGGGGCTGAGTGGAAGGGTTCTCCACGGCACTGCTGTGCGAGAAGCAGGAACTGGAGAGAGGAGGAGGAGAAAGCGAAGGTACTCTCTCCTTGCCTCTGTATTATAGAGTACGGGGCTCTTTGTTTCCTAGTGGACCAGGTCTCCGATCAGGGTCAGGGACTTCCTCTGACACTCACAGCCACATGTCGGCTCAGAGGGCAGGCCTGGGCGGCTAAAGCCAAAGTCAGCTGTGAAGCCAGCCACGCCCTCGGAGGTCTGGATGCTACAGCAGAGTGAGCACCTGCATGACTTTAGATAGCATCCGGAGACGGCGCAGTGCTGACCTGGTGTGTTACAGCTGAGTCCACTGAGCATCTACGGCGCGCTACACTGTGTGTTAGCGAGGGAAGGGAACGGACGTTTTTAATGTGCTCGACGTGTACTTAAGGGAGTGATTATGTCATCTTTATCACTGTATCACCTACCGCAGTGCAGGACAAAGGATCCCTTGAGTTACATCTTCAGTGGATGAATGTCAGCCATGTCCCTGCATACTGTGTATACACCGTCCTTAAATCCTCAACACAAAATCTCCACTCACCCAGAGGAGCAAACTAAATCACATGAGCAATGTATAATTATCTACTGCTTTGTCACTGACCACCCAAAACTTAATGGCTTCAACCATTTATTTACTCTGATTCTGCAATCTGGGCTGGGCTCAACTCCCTTCACTGGTTGTGCCTGGGGTCTCATACAGATGCAGCCCAGTGTCTCAGCTGGGAGGGTTGGATCAGCCAGGGCCCAGCTGGGCATCTGTCTCGCTCTACGTGATTTCTCCCCCTCCAGCAGGGTAACTGGACTTCCTCATGGTGCGGTGACCAGCTTCCAAGATGAGTTTCAATAAGCAGGCACTTAGCAAACCTCTGTTTCTATCCTGTCTGCCACGGTCCTACTGATCAAAGCAAGGCACGTGGCCAAATCCACGCTCACAGTGGGAGGGACTTACGTAACAGAAGTGTGTTCACTGGGAGACTACCCACGTTGTACTCTACCGCAGCAGGTAAGTGGCAGCTAAGAATCACGCCCGCATCCGCCTGAGTCCCAATCCCAAAGGAACAAATGGCATTGCTACTGCCAGCAAGGACCTCACCCATCCCTGAATTCCCAGGTCTGAGAAGGACAGAAGAAATGGCATCGGAGCTGAAACAGCCAACAAACAAGGGAGGGAAGTGGAGGCCAGACCCTTCAGTTGAGGGCTCAGGATAAGCAAAGGGGAGGGCAGCGGGAAACTTCAAGTTTTAGGGAATTGGAAGTGGTCCAAGATAGAGGATGGGGGAGGGAGTGGGGACAAGCCTGTTACCCACAGGTAGGGTTGAGCATTATGAACCACACACATCCGGAGTGCGATCTCACTCAGCAAGCAAGGGGAAGCCACGGGAGGTTTCTGACCGAGAGCACTGTGGTCAGACTAGGGCATCAGGAACATCGCTCTGGCAGCCCCATGAGGAGGGACTTAGAAGGAAAGATTGGATGGGAACAAGGAGGGCAAAACCTAGGGCGGTGACTACGAAGATAAAAAGGAGAGCTTCCTGTCAATGCAACTCCTGCAAGTCCTTCTCGAAGTCCAAGGCAAGGCTCTCCTGCCTGGGGGCCCTCCCATCCCTGCATTCCTTTAACTGGCATCAGTGATGTCTCTCAATGCAGTACACACCCACGTTTCACCGTATCTTTGTCTCCAAGGATTATACCTACCAGTGGCTGCTGTCCCTAACCAAGTGACACGCTTCCAGAGAGCTGTGCAAACCAATGTCCTGGGAAGAGACTGACCCTAGGGACCGAGAGTCCAGGTCCCTGGTCCTAGCTTGCATGCGAGCACCTGTGAGATAAGGTGTCTTTGTAAAATGAGAAAATTCACCTAGGAAACTTCCCAGAATTCCTCTAGCAAGGAAGAGCAGAGAATGAAACCAGTCAAGCACTGTTGCCTTCAGCCCACAACGGTTCTCGGGTGTCCACTGGGTACCACACACCCTGCTGGGTGCCAGGCACACAGACCTGGGCTGATTTGTTTAGTTTGCTTCTGTGACTCTTGGGAAAATCATTTAAATTCACCGGGCCACGTTATCTGTAAAACGGGAATCGTAATCTGTATCTCGTTCTACGGAGTAAGAGCCATGAGGCCCGCAGCTCTGGGGGCTCAGTAACCGGAGCTCACGCGCTGCCTGGGGAGGCTGCCTCGAATTACAGGACACGTAGGAAATGCTATAGGAACACAGCAGGGCGACAAGTCCAGAGCCCAGCGGGCCAGGCGGGGGCCGGGCAGGGGGGAACCAGGCTCCAGGCAGAGGACCGCGTTCCCGCCTTGAGATCTGGACGCAGAGGGAGCCGGCTGGACGCGGCCGCAGCCCTCTCTCCAGCTGCAGCCTCCCTAGCGCCGCAGGGATCCTTCAGGGATCCCCCGACCTCCTCCCCGCCAACGGCACCTGCCGGTGCGACCGAGGCCGGCCCGATGCGCATGCGCGACTCCGCGGCGCACGCGCACCGCGTTGCCGCAGCGCGGGGCGGCAGGTTGCGCGTCCCAGGTCCCTACCAGGTGCCCGTAGACGTCTGCGGGCTGGAGGTAGAAGGTGGAGTTGAGCAGCTCTTCCAGCCTGCGCGGAACGCCGTTCTCCTGGTAGTACTCCATCGCCTGCTGCTTCAGCTTCCGCAGCTCCCTAGCGGTCCCAGAGCTGCGGCTGCCGCTGTCTTCCCCCATGGTAGGAGATTCGAGGCTCCGGCGGGGTTTAGCCTGGGGGCCCGCGAGCGTCCTCCCGTCGCCAGGCAACGCAGCGAGATCCCGAGCGCAGATCTCGCGAGCCTTCCAGCCTTCGTTTCCTCCCGCGGCGAGTTCCGCGAGTCGCCCCCTCCTCGTACCTGCGGCCGAGGGGCTGGGCCCGGGGCCCCGCGTTCTCGAGCCCGAGTCTGGCTCTTTCCCGGCCACGTTTTCCACCGCCGGCGGGACGGGGCGGTGTCTAGCGACCTCGCGAGGCGCGCGGGCGGCGCGCTCCGGGGAGAGGCGTGTGAGGACCCCGAGTACTCTGAGCGCGCCGCGGGAAGTCCCAGACACCCTCCCTTCGGCCCCGTAGTTGTTACCCACCTGCCCGGAGCCGGGCAGAGGCGAAGTCCGTGGAGTTTCGGGGCTAAGCAGACGGGGTGAGCGCCCTGCGGGAGGTGACGGCCGGGGCAGGACTTGGGGGAGGGAAGCGGTGTCCGCGGGCCCAGTGCCCCCTCCAAGTCCGAGCGGCCCCGTGGCTCCGACCCCCAGCAGGTGACCCACGCAGGTGCGGGGCGTTAGCTGGCGTGGTCGAGCAGATCCCTTAAAGGGTCGGAGCCGCGCGGTGCTCGCGTGGAGGGCGGACTCTCGCGCCCGCTCCGGACTTGGACACGAGACGGGGACACGCGGCTGGGCCGGCTGCGTCAACACGGGCGTCCTTCGCGTGGTTTAGACGAACGCCACACTCTGAACTCGCCCCGTGTTTTCTCCGCGAGAGAGCGTCAGGCACCTGCCTCCCTCTCCCTGCTGGAAGCCCCGTGATGCCGGGCGCTGAGTCCGCGCCGAGAGGTGTCGGGTGACCCTTTCTACAAAGCAGGCCGGGGCTGCTGCGGCTGTCTTCCATCTGACCTGGGTGCCCACACCTGGATGTCCGCGTTGAGCCCCCCCCCCCCCCCCCGAGCCATAGGCCACACTCCAGCTCTCACTCCAGCCAGACCTTTGTCGCAGCACCGCTGGTACTTCCTGAGCCACCGAGTTTAGCCCTCAGCGTTATCTTTCCTCATTCGGCACTTTATTCCTTAAACCTTACGACTGTTCCATTTGAGAGGGAGAGAGAGCTCCCATCTGCTGGTTCACTCCGCAGATGCTTGCCGTGGGGGAGGCTGGGTCAGAACTGAAGCCAGGAGCTTGGATAGTATTCCAGGTCTCCTCTGTGTGTGTGTCACCGGAACCCAGTTACCTGGGCCATCACCACTGCATTAGCAGGAAGCTGGAGACAGGGACTGGAGCCGGGTTGAACCGGCTGCTGGACCCAGGCCTCCTAACTGCTAGGCTGAGCACCCCTTCCTGACTTGGCATTTTAAAGGATACTTGAAGTGTCCCCTTCCAGAGTGTTTTGGGGTCTCCCTTCTAGAACCCGTTGGCCTGAGTGCCTTGGGAGTAGGGACTGGGTCAGTGTTGTTCAGCCCTGCACCCACAGTGGCAGTACATTATCTGACTCAGTAGATGCTAAGTGTTTTTTGAGAGAGAATGAATGGGTTTCACACATAAATGATCAGTAGACCCTTCAGAGTGAAGAAGGCGTGTGGTAGCCTGGCTGGGGCAAAGGGTTTGTTTCCAGGAATAGTGAGAATTAAGGGCAGAAAAGGAACCTGGGGCAAGATTGTGAAGGGACTAGAGCGAGCACAAATTCCTGAATGCAAGATGGAAGTGGTGGGTAGCATTGATGGGTTATTCTGCACACAGGAGACCCAAGTAGAAAGTCATACAGGTCCAAGGGACAAAACAATGGTGGTAGCAATGATGGAAGAGATGGGAGAGGAAGGAGGGATGGAAAAGGCTTTGTGTGGCTGGATCAGGGTTGGGGAGCCAAAGGTGACGACGGGGCTGATGGTCCACTCAGAGTTGACGGGGTAAACGAGTGCTCTGGTTTCGGAGGCGACAGCCATGCGTTGGGTTTTAAAGGTGTAGGGTTTGAGGAGACTGAAGATGCTGACACACAGGGTTGCAGGTTAAAGAAAGGACGGAGGAGACCCCTCGAAGGAAAAGGGCAGGATCCTTCCGTGGTGAGGCCTCACACTGGGTGCTGGGTGGTGACTCCGCGCCTCCTGCCCCCACCGCGCTTCTCCTCTCAGAGCGAATCCACAGCAGCAATTGGGAAGGACTGTATTTCAGACACAGGAGAGAGCAAGGCGCTATAACAAGAAACAAGCAAACAAGGCCCAGAGGAAAGGAAAAAGTTCAAATCACACGGTCTAGGGCAGAGACTTTGGGAAATGTGTCAGGGGTGTGTGTGTGCGTGTGCATGCCGACTTGCTGAGAATAATCAGGGATGGGTGCTAGTGTGTTAACTGCGTCTCCTTGGGTGATGGAAATCATATGAGTTTTATTATTTTTTATTTGAAAGGCAGAGTTGAGCTGGGAGGAGAGACAGAGAGATCTTTCATCCACTGGTTCACTTCCCAAAGCCGCAATGACTAGACCTGGGCCAGGCCAGAGCCAGGATCCAGGAGCACCTTCCAGGTCTCCCACATGGGCGCTGGGGCCCAGGCACTGGGGCTATATTCTGCTGCTTTCCCAGGCGCGTTAACAGGGAGCTGCATCGGAAGAGGAGCAGCTGGCACTTGAACTGGAGCCCATATGGGATGCCGGCGCTGCAGGCGGTGACTTAACCTACTGTGCCACAGCACTGGCCCCCATATGAACTTTAATTTTCTTCTTTTCATATGTTAGAAGTATCTGATCTTCCTAAAATGAATGAATTACTTATGCACCTTTGGAAAATTACATTTAAAGCATTTGAGGGAAGGGTGTTAAGTCAGAGGTTACTGGAAGACTGAGGACAGAAGAGATTACTAGGAATTGAGTTGTTGCCTCATAGACTGTTTCCATCATCTCACTACCTGGAGGCAAAGCATAAATAAATAGAACTGCCGCTCCAGTCTCATTTTGTCATTCAGCCAGCCAATATTTATTAAATGCCAGGCACTGTTCCAGGCACCAGGGAAAGAGCAGTGAGTACCATCAATCACATCCCTTCTCTTCATGGCACTTAAGTTCCAATAGCATCCAGTAGCACTTAACAATCATTGGAACAAATGACTGAAGCCATAAACATAAAGGCATTTTGAGAAGTTGTTAGGCTAAGGGTTTATTAATAGTCTATTAGTCTTGACAGATCCAGAGTCAATAAAATGGTCATGAATCTTGCCATGGTGAAGTTTTCCTTAGCTGTTAGGAGCACTGGAGATGCAGCTGAAAGATATGCAGGTGCAGATGTTGCAGTCCGCACATCCCTTGTCTGAGCGCCGCCATCACTAGGTTTGTGTTTCATACTGAGACCAAATGTCCTGTGGCACCTTCAGAGCATCAGAGCTCAAAAGAGGGAGGGCGGTGCTAACCCTAAAGGCACCAATCTGGGGAGTTCAGGATTGGAGGGAGGGAAGGTGCCTGAAGCTCACCCACAGAGCTCGTGCCGCCTCCTTTGGAAAGAGGAAATGGTGTGGGAGAGAGGCTCAGCTCTCACTGTTAGTGTCCTGTGCCTCGTATGGTGTGAGACAGGGACTATTTTGAGGGAATGAGGAAACCTGAGTTGGAGTCCAGCTGTCCCTAAGACCTTGACCTCATCTGCAACAAGCAGGTTTGAACTGCATCAGTGTTTCCTCACCTTTTTGGAGCTTGGAAACTATTTTAACAACAAAAGAAATTGAGCCCCTGACCCCTGCCATGTAATCATAGATAGCTGTAGTGACTGAAAGTTCAGAAGTACTTTTAGAGACCTTCATATTTTATTCATGGAAACTCTGCATATGGAAAGAATATGTTTACAGGCAAGCCATTAGTGATTTGGGGGGTGTGTTTGGAATTGTGGGTCCCCTGTAGAGTCCACAGGCTTCCCGACGACCTTGATACGGAACCACAAAACTGGGCCTGTCCATGCTTGATCTGTCCTACTTTGTAGCACTGACTCAAGAAAAAATACCAGGGTACATTATTAGTCTGTTCCGACTTGCTAACTGAAGCTCCCTCCTAGAGGAAATGAACCATCCTCCAGTCTGCAGCTCTAAGATTTTCTAAGCTGTGTCAGACATATCCTAAACGAGCGAGATTGAAGAAAAAATGTATTTTTCATTTTCCCCCCTTAATCTTACCCAACACCTCTATTTCAGTTGGGGCTTTAATGTTCAGAAGTGATTGTTTAGCTGTTATTTTGGGGTTGCTATCAAGTGCTTGTTAATCCCCCCTTCCTGCATTGGACATCTGTGTTGCATATCATTTTTCATGGGGAACTAATGAACATGATTGCAGGTGCCTTTAATTATAGAATCATAGCAGCTAGAGACAGAATAGATGGAATATGTTGCCTTTTCCTCACCTAGAAAATGGGAGTATTAATGTTAAGCTTCCTCACCCAGTTGTCATGGATGAGAAATATGATTGCCAAGCTGATTATAAATATAAATAGCTGTAAATTAAGTGCTAAGGAATAATTTGACTAACAAAAAAAGAAATGTTTAATTTGTTTATTTCCTATAAAGATGTCTCCCGGAAGTAGTCATTAGCACTGTAGTAATAACAAAAACAACCAAAAAAAAAAAAAAAAAAAGAACCACAGCAGAAACTCTCTTTGAGCTCTTTTATGTGCCTAGAACTTTATCCCAGTGAATCTGCAAAACAGCCACAAAAGGTAAGTGATCAGCCCAGGGTTCCACAGTTAATCAGTAGCACGGGTGGAATTTGAACCCAGGCCCAGCTGACTCCATGGCTTTGCATTTCCGGGCTGCTCCCTGTGTCTCAGAGGCAGCACCGTGAGACTCCAGCGCCCTTTCTGGAGGAGCGGGTGAGTTGCTCACAGGGAGGTGGTGGAGAAAGGGTGCTGATGGGTGCTGATAATCCCCTGATCCCTGCTTCTCAGGGCTGCGCAGGAGGATCACTGGGGATTCTCCCAGCCTCCATGCGCCATTAGGCTCTAAGCACTGTGTGCAGACGTGTTGGCTCCCGTGGACACATAGAATATCGAAAAATGAAGATGCTTGGGCCTTACCCCAGACCCATCCAGCTGGACTCGCTAGGGGTCAGGGCCCATGCGTGGAGGTGTTTTTTGTTTTTTGTTTTTTGTTTTTTTTTCAATATGTGATGTTAATGTGCAAGGTTGAGAACTGCTATAAAAGATTTCTCCACGGATCGTGTCACAAGTGGAGTGGCTGAGGCTTGACCCAGGAATGATTTGATCATGGGTACAACCACGAAGGCCTAGAAGTGTCAGGGCTTAGAATTAGCCTGTTTAGGCCGAAATCCTGGTTCTTTCTGTTCCTAGCAGTGCGACCTTGCACAGACTAATCTCTCTGAGTCCATTTCCTCATCGGCTAATATTTTCATATTTTAATAAGGATTAGATTTAAAAATCCACATAGACTTCTTCCTACCCTGCCTAACATGTAGTAAATGGTGCTATTGCCAGAGAAAAGAAGGGAAAGGACAGTGGAATATTTTTGAGTAGGTTTGCAGTGTTTGTGAAACCTTTATTTAGTTTTGCACAAGAATTCAGACTGAATTGAGTAAGGAGGGGAAGCTCCTTTAGGAAGGGAGGTTAGTGGCCCCTGGAGATCTCTCACTTTATCCTTCAGTGTTCGTTCATTAGAAAGTTAGAAGTTAGAAAGTTGCTGTGTAGTTTCTGGCTTGCTTCCCCGCAGAAAGCCGAAAGCTGGAGCTGAGGTCTTACTGTGGTGGCTCGAAGCTGGCGTCCTGTCAGGGCCTGTTTCAGATTCAACCTTCCGGTCATTTGTGCAAAGGCCTTCGACACTGAAGACCAAAAGATACTGTCGGGGATGCTGCTGCTGGCAGTTTAATTGGTATTTTTCAGGGGACGGACACACACTTTCTGTGTGGGCAGAGAGGACCTGGAAGTAGGGCAGTTGTCCAGTGAGCTCAGCCAAGGAAGAGCAAAGGAAAAAATCAGGCGAAAGGAATTCTTTTTAAGCAAGCTAATTTTCCCATGTTTAAATAGATAATTTTTTTTTACCTTTATGGAAGTCGACACAAGGGTATTTTAATGGCATAATTACAGGGCCAATAAAAGAAATATGTAAAATATCCTCACAAAGTCCAGGTTTTCTAATTTGTACTTCTTAACAGAAAAGTAGCAAAACAAATATTGTAATTGCATTTATTGTGAGTGAAGGAAGTGTTAAACGTGTTGTCCACATAGGGGGCAGCAAAGAAGAAAGCAAGAGTCCCAGTTCAGGCACAGTTCGCTGTTTTGTCAAGTCCGGGCTAAAAATGCTTTCTCTGTGAGGTTACAAATATCCATTTGGTTTGTTTCCTGGCCCCTGAGAGCCCTGTGCCTACCTATTTTGTTGTTGCACTTGAATGAGAGTTAATAAATTGTTTGACTTTTGTAATTAAACTTAAGAACCCGACTGAAGGGGATTTTAACTTCCCTGAAAATGTACTTTAAGTTAATCTGCTTAAGAGGAATTATCTGTTTCTTGTTAGCAAAATCCAAAGACTATCTGCCTTTATAACTGATGTTTCTACAGGCCCGACCATGAATCTTACAGGAACGGTAAACTTTCAAAAACTTGTTTGGGGGAACCAAAAAGCTAAGTTACCAGAAATTTCGATCTTTCTCTTTACTTTAACTGTTGGCCAAGCTCAGGGTGGTGGTTCTGCTGCTATTGTGTTGTTACTGTTTTTCTGCCTTGATTTGCCTTCTGGAAAGTCACCTATTTAAGAAGTTTGAGAATTCTAGTTATTTGAGTATTTTAAAAATATACTAGTCACAAATGCAGATTAGGAATTGTTGAAGAGTTTTAGTGTGGGGGATAAATTCCCAGGGCTTTTTAGCAAATAAAATCATTTAAGGCAAATTGCTCAATACCAATTTAGCTACACTTCTTTCTTTTATTACAATCATATATAAATTATTATCATTGGAGCCCTGTGCACTTCCGGAATTATTCAAGGTGACATGTGAATGAATCTCAAGTGTGTTAGATGACATTTTTGAGCCAAAATTTTAATAGTACACTGACGTGTGTGCCAAGAAGGGATAATGTGCTCTTGATTCTGTTTTTTAATTAAATAATATATTCTGTGATTATGCCTTCAAGATCTTGGATGGAAAAATCAGTCGTGTTTCCTTCGTACCTGACGGAGAAAGTTTAGTGGGAATAAGGGACTGAAACGCTGTTTCCGGAGCGGAAAGGGTTTGAAGGTGCGATTGCTGCTGCTGCTCCGCGGCCGCACAGCTGTCTAAGTGCCGCCGCTTGGAGGGACCTGCAGCATCTGACACAGTTGTCCCCCGAACCGCAGCAGGCCTGATGCGTCAGGGTAATTGTGTGTGAAGGGCCTTTCACTTGGAAATAAATGAAGCCAAGTGAAATTTGGAATAACAGTATCCGGGTGCTTTGGTGTGTTTGGATGTGTCTGTGTGTGTGTGTGTGTGTGTGTGTGTGTGTGTGTGTGTGGACCAGGCCAGGGAAGCGTCATCCAAGGGTCTCCTAGCGTTTCCCACTCCCACCCCTCTGCCCCTGAGGACCCGGGACTTGGTCCACAGTCACTGCTAGACTCCAGTAAAACTTTCGAGTCGGTTTATGAACAACCGACTGGTCTAAAACGTCCCTGAGCCGCCTAGGTGATGGTGCCCCCGTGTCGGCCTCTCTGGGCGTTTGGAAATAGAGGCGGTTGTGAAACCAGCTCAGGCAGCAGGCCACCCTCCAGGTTGACCTTAGATCTCGGCACTTGCCATGGCATTTTTCCACCCCTGAAATTTTTATAGTACAGTTCCCACTTCTTTTTGATGTAAAGTTACCCCATGCCAAAGAATTGCTGGGGTTTCCTTTAGCTTGTGGATGTGACTTGAGCCTCTTGCCTGATGGTAAATACTTTCTTTCCTTTACAGCCAGCTGGTCAGGAAAAATCAGGTTCTGCGCTGATTTTGAAAATACAAAACCAAAGGCTATTTTGCAGGGTGAAAACAAAGGATTATAGGCATGACTTTAATTGAAAGAATGAATTTTGAAATGAATGCGAGTTTTCCAATTTGTTAGCTTTAAAAGGAGTATGGTCCTTGTGTCATCCTTTATTTACTGAACGTACAGTCACTTTGAATTCTTAGCTAAGCGCTTTACGAGAAAATATTCTGTTCAATTCATAATTTTTGTGTATTCTTATAAACCTAATGCAAAATTATTTGTCTTTTTGTGAGATTTTTAAGAAGCAATTAAAATAAATTCAAAATTACAAGAATTCCTTTAATTTATATTTTCAATGAGCTTTATCTCCAAATATTATTTGTTATATGAAAATAAAAAGAATCACCATTTTTAAGCTAAAAATAACTATATAACTATAAAGGTTTGACCTTTAATTCACTAGGGGCGTGCTTGGAACTTTTCACTCTCTTTTTTTCAAGACTTAATGCTAAGGAAAAAAAGCACCATCTTTTTTGACATAAAACTAGCCCCTGGCCAGTGGGTCAGACACATCACACGCACACGCGCCTGTCCGTCTTGGGTCAAGGCTCGGTTTTCACATCTGGGTTAGTCCGTCCCGGTGTTTGGACTGTGTCTCCGACTTTGCTCTCTAAACGTGGGCTTTAGGATACACCTCCTGCCCCCATCTCATCTACTTTTAACAACAGGTGCAGGTAAGACTACAGGTTTTGTGTATGCTGGGCACCTGCGCCTGGCCCCTGGGAACCAGTCCTGCTTGTGTTAGCTACCAGGGTGCATCTGTTTCAGTTGAATATTTTAAAATAAGCTGTAACTCTGGAAGGCGATGACTGGAGGAAGGGGACTGTGGCCTGTATCAAACTGGGGGAAAAACAGAGTGTGGGAAAACTCCTCGTGCTACTTAGTGCTTTCTGACTTTTGAAAGAAAGGAAACTTTGCAGTAGGCAATTCAGAGAAGAACTGTAGGAAACAAAAAACAGCAGAGCACGGCTCTTCGTGGGCTGGGGGTGGGCCGTGCTTATCTAGCGTCAGTGGGGTCTCCCTGAAACAGTGGTGGAAGGGTTCATTTGAAATGATCTTGAGCTTTCTGCAGAGGCATAAAATAGTCGAATCTTTTCCTCCCTTAGCCAGTGACTCTGTCTTTATCCAGGAGCTATAAAGCAACATTTAGGCTGCCAGCATTTTCTGACCGGAAAGTACAAATATGTGCACGTGTTCTGCGGTGAACATTTGAATATTTCACCAGGTACTGGTATCCATCATCCCCAACATTAGCTTTTTATTTAAGCATAAGGGAAGGTAACATTTCTGTGTATGGACTCTTAGTGGGTGAGATACATGTCAGTTGACAAATGCGTTTACTGGGTAAATAAAGTGCTGGGGTGGACATGTCTGATGCTCACTGCCTCCACAGATGTGCGATCTGTCTTACAGATACGTGCTAGCAAGGAGCAGAACCCTCAGCCCTCAGTCAGCCGTGTGGCCACACAGCAGCGGTACACACGTTTTTAAATGCATTACTTCATTTTTGAACACCTGCCCAACATCTTTCCAAGCCTTGTTTAGGATGAAGTTCAAACAAATGTAACCTCAGGTGAATTTCTCCCCACGAGGTCAGGTGGCCTAAAATGTGCTCAGAGCTCCGAGTGGAGTGTGAGCCGTGGAGAGGATTCTGTTGCCTGGGACCTCCCGCAGCATCACACGGAAGCCTGAGGAGGTGCAGAAGTGAAAGCAGTCCCCGGGCTGCTGTCAGACGCGACCTTCCTTCCCGGGGGGAGAGCCGCACTCTCGGCTTGCCTTCTCCTCCTCCAGTATCCAGGAACACGGAGGAGGGATGGAAGACTGTCCAAGCACGGGCTCTCGGGGAGCTCAAGTAGCGGACACCGGCCCTGGGGAGGCTGGCCACCTGCCTCCTCCACCCAGATGGCCAGATTCCGGTGCCGCCTGGTCTCACTCTTGCCCTCTGAGTGCCTTTCTTTACCAGTGGGCTTTGGTTTCTGGCCTGGTCTCTCCTGTCTTGGCTGCTGGGCTTAACCCACCTCCTCCGTGTTAACTGCCCACCTGACAGACAAAGCCTCTAGAAGTGATCCATTGTGCATCTGTTTGCCATTATGTAAATCCGTGTTAAATTATTTTAGAGAAGGGTCTCAGATCCAGGTAGAACTTTTGGAGTCATTTAGTTCCACATTGTATTTAGTTCTATTTTATCTAATTATAAATCTATTTAAATATCTAAGGATATTTAGGGATACTGCAAAAAGTTCCTGGAAAAATGGGATTAAAAATAAGTTTAATTTGGTGCAAAAACAAAAAATTGAAATCCTTGCATGTTTTTTCAGAATACACATTTTCCACAAACTTTTTGAGAACATTGCCTATGCATGGATTGCGGAATCTTTTGCACCAAAATAAACTCATCTTTTAATTCCATTTTCCATGAACTTTGGGAAGTACCCTTGTTTCATTTCCAGACAAAAATAATATCTTCCAACATAAGCAAATAGAAAAAAATTTAAGTTTCTGGTTAGGGGCTGTTTACATAATTCTCATATCTGGGAACCAGTTTATTTTATGAGTGTGATTTTAAAGAATTTCTTTTTTATTTTTTTGCATGTTCCTTATACAAAAAGGAAAAATAACTTTCATTAAACACAGTATATGTTAGTGTGTGTGTGTGTGTGTTGCTGTCCTGAAGATCATGTGTAGTCTGAAATATTAAAAGATTTCAGAATCTCAGATCCTCAACTCCCAAGAAAATAAAACGCTGTACCTACATATGGAACTTGTACCATGTCCTTTGTCACAAGGTTTGGCCGTTAGAAAGCTTTATGGGGCGGATTGTCAGTGGCCGTGGATGGCCAAGTCCCCTGCATACCCTCTTTGTCAGAAAGCAGGCATGTGTTCTGCCCTTTTATAAAAAGTATAATAATGAGCGCATCCTGTGCGATTCCTGCACCAGCTACCGAAGAGCATGCATGGCTCATCCTGGTGAGAGGTGACTCACCTGAGGCCTTGTTCCCACACAGGTAACGCGTCAGCGTGGTGCACAGCACGTGGGGCTTCCCCCAGTTAGGCAGACAGAGTCTCATTTAGGAAGGAACTTAGGCTTTCGCCTGTCGGAGGCGAGTGAAACCATCGCCAGGAGCTGTCTGTTTCGCTGACAGGTCCGTGCCTGCGACAGTGCGGTTTTCCCCCAGGTGCACGACTCCCTCACGTTGGTGTGGCAGGGACTATTTAATAAAGATGTTTACGACAGCCCCTGAAGTGTGTGGTCTGCGTTCCCACGGCGTGTCGCTGCTGCCGCCAAGTGACAGGTCTGAAAACTTGGCAAATCCTCCCCCAGCAGAGCGTCTGCTGGCCTCCTGGACAACGATAGCGCCCGCTTCTGAGAGCAGAGAGGGCGACTCCTGCCTGTCGCTGGACCACGTGGGCGGCCGCGGCCTCCCCGGCGTCTGAGACAAGGACCACCTTGGGGGTGGAGAAGAGGATTTCCGTCTCTGAACTACTGTGTCTAGTTTTTAGGATTGCAGGGGGTTTTGTGTTGTTGGTCTGTTGGCTTTTTTTTTTTCCCTGTTTGGTTACTTGCCTGCCATTGCACATAAAAATCCTATGGGAAGGAAATTCCCCGTCTTAAAAATCCATCAGTCACACCACAAACTTGTAAGTGCAGGAACACACAAGTCCTTGGGATGCATGCAGACTGTTCCCTTTAGCAGGCGCATTCTTGAACGGGGCTAAGAGCTTTTCAATTGCTGTGACATTTTCAGCCAGGGAAGGGGGAGTCGACGCAGCGCAATGTTTTACAGGCAATTACTTTATATGATCAATGGAGCAATTCCCCTTCCAGAATGGAACCAAAGCGATCAAGTTAAATCATTAAAGAGAGAAAGAGAGAGCGGGAGAAAGGATTCATCTCATTAGCAGGTGCCAGTGCTGCCGGCGAGGGGCGGCCGCGCCACCATGTCACTGGCCCTTTAAGACAATGACTGCACCCCCTCCACTCTCGCTGCCCCCCCCCCCCCCAGCTGTTGACAGGTCTGAACCTCCGGAGCAGCCCATTGTGGCCACGGTAGGAGGCACCTGCAGAAAATGTGCCAGAACCAGGCGGGGAGCGAGGGCTTTTCAATAGGCTCCGCAGCTGGAGCCGAGAAGCAACACTAAACAACCGGCTGGGACCAGGCATGTGACGGGAAAGGGGTCAGAACCAGACACCTCCCGGAGGCTTTCTGAGCGCCGTGCCGGCTTTTCTCGATTTGCTTAATATGCTGAGGTATTTAGCTTAAAAGCACTACACGCTTCATCACGATGAGCCGTTCGCCCCTTCCCCGTTTCCTGTTATTAGGGATGTTCCCCAGTATTTTCCCTCTCGGCCCCAAACCAAGTTGTTTTCTTAACGTTTCCCTCTGGTGCCCGTCCCAGGCACCCTCGGCCACACACGACTTGCTTGGTTTTACCCATCTTTAATCCAAGGACGAGCAGAAACTCCCCGGATGAAGGACCCGTGCTGCCTCTGGGAACACACGTTCCGCTGCTCTAGGCCCTTCGGGCTGGAGGGAGCGTTCTTGGCTTTGCCATGCTGCTGCTGTGTGCCCATCCACCTGCCACTGCTGCCAGGGCGTCTGGACATGCCACGCGGATGGGAGACTCTTCCCCTCTCACTGTGTAGGCTCTGCCACAGGGGCCAACAGCTAATGGAGCTTGGGTTTTAGGAATTCGTTTGGCACCCATGCATTGTCTACAAACCCCTGGGGTATATGGGATATGCTGGTGGCTTGGGGCGCAGGGGACACTTTCCCCGCGTTGTCTCCAGGATAAATGGGAGATGAGATCCTGACATGGTTCTGCAACTGTGGCAGCTCTGGGCTGTAACTCCTTGCATTCACACCACTCTTCACGGTTTCCATGAAATTTCCATGTGTTTTCCTCTCACTTGACACAGTAAGGCATCAGCGACGCCCAGGGCTCAGCCCAAAGCCACACAACAGGTGATGAGTGCAGGCCCCCCCCCCCCCAAACCTTTGCTTCTCTCCCTCTGCCCGGTGCCATCTCTGCAGACCCTCAGCGGGCTCGACTGCACACAGAGAGAGCCACGTGGGGAGAGACGCAGCGGTGTTGTCCATGAACTCTCTTTCCCTCCTGCAGATGGAGAGTGTCGCCGTGTACGGCCTGTGTGGGTGCAAAGCCAGGAGCAAGACGAGGTGCGATGCAAGGTGGGAGAGGACGGCTTCAGGTAGGAAGCCAGCTGACGCGCGTGAGTATCAAGCTGGCCTCTGAAACCATTCCCCAGAGCCCTGCTCCTCTGGAGAGGACCCTCGTCCGCTAAGACGCTCGCTACGCTGCCGCCGCCACAGAACCCGCCGGATCTGATCGGAATGCCGACACGTGGGAAGAGGGTTGGGAGAAAGCCTAGTTCAGAGGCAGGAAATAAAAGTCGATCCCCACCCACCTCCCCAAAGCCTGGCCTTGCCGCCCACAGGGACAGCGGGAGTGAGATGGCCTCAGTCTAAGCTGTGGGGCCCCTGCTGTCCATGCTCTGCCCTGGTGGCCCTGGGAGCTCGTCCTGGTTCGGGCCTGTACAAAGGCAGGAAGCGATGGGCGCCGTTCATCTGAGCTTGTTTATGCTTTAACGTGTCTCTCCTCTTGGGGACTGGCCCTCTTCCTCCTCCTTCCTCCTGGCTCCCTCCCGTCCTGGAGAAAACAAGTGGACTATTCATGTAAAAAGAGAGAGAGTGAGAAGGGAGGGGGAGATGCCACCGACAGACTCCATTGAAAGCCACTGGCTGTTCATTTACATTCACACTTTTTAAAAATGTTAACTAATGATGTTAAATGGTTTGCCAAAGGTCCTGGCAGGTCAGTTGTAGAAGTGTCATTTCTGCCTAATTAGGGCTCTTGTGGCTGCCTGGGCCAGCCCCCCGGTGCAACTGGTGACAAGCGAGAGCTGACAGCTTCAATTGGTGCCAGTAGGAAGGTTGGGCCGGTCATGTTTTCCAACTCAGCCAGGTGTTTGCTGAATGGGAGACAGGGCTTGGCGAGATCTGAGCGCCTCTATGATCCTTTTTCTTTCACCGGGCCCTCCCAAGTCCTTCCCCTTTGCCTGTCTTGTCTTGTGTCAAGGTCAAGAATGGGCTTTGCTAAATCAGCAATTTGGGTTATCTCTGGGAGGTCATTAGCAATCTCCAGCCCAGACATCTCAAGTGGTCTTAGACCCCAGATGCTAGGTTTTTTTTTTCACCCCAAAAATCAGAGCGTGGTGGTGGTGGTACGGGGGTGGAGGGAGGGAATGCTTTAGGTGAAAGGCGATAGTAGGAAGAAAACAAAACCAAAAAAAACCTCCCAGAAAACTAGGCAGCAAAGTATTCAACTTCTGAACACATTCGTCATAGTAAACTTGCTTAAGAAGAGGAGAGAGCTAACTGAAGCACCCTGATCAGCGCTTAAGAAATTGAGAGAAAAAAGAAATCCTGTTAGGTTCAGTGGGATATGCAGTAACTGTCACCTAGTAGGTGCTCAATAAATAATTTATTGTTCAATTTAATGTTTTTCAGGAGAAAAATTACTGTCTGAAACACAGAGTGATGATTGATAGAGTTCCTGCGATTTTCCAGGCCGGCTTTAGCTGTCCCTATGATGCTTTGAATTTCTCCGTTGATCATAACATACTCGCTAGGTTGGAGTCCAACGCTATGGGTTGATAGGATTATCTTGTTTTCTGTTTTATTTATTTTTTGAAAAACAAGTTAAAATAAGCAAAATACCGCCGGTGCTCAGTGCTCAGCAAGCCCAGAGGCAGTGCCAGGGCCATGATGAGACGTGTGCGTCCAGAAGTTGGACTTGACGTGCTGGTGGGCCTGGTGGGATGGCAGCACTCGCTGGCTGGCCCGGAATTGGACGCCCTAGTTCTTGAACACACACACACACACACACACACACGTACGTGCATGAGCAGGTCTGTGAGACCAGGCATGCCACGGGCATTGAAGACCAGGCTGTGTTACAGGGAGACAGTGACGTGGGGAAAGCAAGGTACATTTTTGGGAAATCTGGGACCAGATCCAAGGAGTTTGGTTCTGGGAAAAAGGGGCTGTCTCAAGTAAAGGTTGCCTGGAACTTGGGGTCTGTGGCTTCCATGGGGCCAGGGAAATAGATTGCTCACGCCTGCTGGTCAACGAGACAGCGTGTAGGGGTATGCCTAGGACGATATCTGGGTGCCCAGCAGCATGGCCGGAGTGCTTCCTGGCTCGGGACCCCGTGTGGTATCTCAGTCTGCTGGTGGGCGAGCCACCAAATGAAGACAGGCTGGCACGAGAGGTACCCAGGATGTGGTTGAGCACAGAGAATTAGCAGCATCCGCCAGCCGGCCAACCTCACGGGCGACCCGTGGGCAGATTGATGGAGCCATCATTTCCCACAGTTGAGTTGCTTGTCCCAAACCGTCTTCCCCAGGGACCTCTTTTGTCACTAACTGCCCTTCAAAGACCCACTTTGCATTTGTGTCCTCCCTCTGTTCACCCCTCTCATGCCACGGCGCGTGTTCTTTGTCCTCTTCCTTGGTGACCTGCGTGCCTCTTGCTGCTCCTGTAGACGGCTGATTCCTGTGTACTTGTGCACACACTGCTCCTGTCCACTTCTAGTTCCAGTTCTGAGCCCCGCCTCCACCCCGCCTCCTGTGAGTCCTGACCTGAAAAGCTGCCGATGCAGCTGCGTAGCTTAGACGGCAATCCACCGTTCTGTGGGTTCATGAGCGGCTCCCTAGGCGTCTCCGTGTGCGTGTGAGGAGGAGTACCGAGCAGTCATCCTGGAAGACACGAGTGCTAAAGAAAACCTTCCACGGCTAGCGGTCAGCCTGGAAAAGTGGGCCAATGAGCTCCTAAAACTAAAGCGAGAGGCTTTGGAAGACTTGCCACCAGAGACAAGCCCTTGTGGGTGGCAGTGGGCCTCCGTTCTGTGGCATTGATAAATGGCCACGCACCCCTTAACGATGAGGCTGCACTCTGAGAAATGTGTCTTCAGATCCGTCCTTGTCAACTACCAGGGTGCACTTACACAAACCCACGTGGGGTGACCCCCTGCACACCCAGGCTGCCCGGCGCTGCCTCTTTCTAGACCCCAAAGCTGGGCAGCCTGTTCTGTGCTGAGTTCCGTGGGCTGTGGCAGTGCAAGGGGAAGTGTTTGTGTTTCTCAGCGTGGAAAAGGTGCTGTGAAAAGGCTAGGGGGGAGGGGTTTTTGAGCTGCATTGTGTGGGATCACCATCACACACGTGAGCCATCCCTGATCAGAATGGTGTCACGTGGCCTGGGACCGATCATCACCATGGTGACCCTGCCAAGGTAAAATTCTGTTTGGCTGAAATTACCCGGAACCCTCTAAAAAGGCGAATCTGATTTTGTTACTCTCTCTTTGAGGGTTTTTTGGTGGCCCTTCCAAGTCTAGTCATGGCTCTTCTTTGACCATGACCTCTTGCTCTGGTTGTGTTGATCCACCAGCAGTGGTCTGGACATGCTGGGGTGCTTCATGCCTCAGCACCTTTGAGCAACCTGCATCCTTGGAATGAATGCCCATTTTCCCTTTCGTTCTTCCTACAAACACCTGTTCCAGGGAAAGCCTCACCTCCGTGTCAGACCCTCTGAGTCTGTTCTTGCCTCCCAAGTTGGGTTGCCCATGCTTTCTTTCATCCTATTGAGAATGCTGTGTTTGTCTCTGCAATAGTGGTGGCAGCAGCAGTAGTGGTACTAGTGGTGCTGGTGATGGTACTACTACTAGTAGTAGTATCAGTAGTATCAGTAGTAGTAGTAGTGATGTTTCCCTTTTATTGAGATCCTCTCAGTGCCATCAGTATTTCTGCCATTGTAAGCCCTACCACCCTATGCCAAAGGTGCAGTTGTAGGTGTTTATTTTACAAGGAGGATCCTGAGCCCAAGTTGCACTTTTGATGTCCTGTAGCTTCAAAGTGGTGGAGCCAGACCCTGAACCCAGTCGTTGTGGCCCTAGTTCACATTACCCAGCATCTTCAATACAGAACCGCCAAACCATGCCACTCGGATTATAAACGACCACCTTGCTGGTAGAGAGGTGCAGTGTGGTTCTCAGTTCATCTCCTGTCTAGGTGGCGTTTTCCTTGCGGTGGGTGACACTCAGATAACTTTGTATTCTTGTGCCTACCATAGGGCCCACACATGGCAGAGACTCAGTGTGGGCTGAATTTAATAAAGTGGAGTTGAATTGTTCTAAGTATTTCTGTATACGTATACAAGTATACATTCTCTCTCTCGGTGTTTCTCATGCTCTTTCTCTATATGCGTATACTAGGATGTTTCCTAAAGTTCATGAAAAATGGAATTAAAATGTTTCAGTACAAAAATGTTTTGAAATCCATGCATACTTTTTGTCACAATAAGTGATTTTCATGAGCTTTTTGAAGACCTTTTGTGTACATGGATTTCAAAATTTTTGCACCAAAATATTATTTATATAATTTATTTGTTAGACAGAGAGAGGTCTCCTTTCTGCTGATTTACTTCTTTAATGTTCACCACGGCCAGGGATGGGCTGGGCCAGAGCTGGGAGCCCGGAACTCAAACCAGGTCTCCCACGTGGGTCAGGAACCCAGCCCCTTGAGCCATCACCGCTGTCTCTCCGTGTCTACATTAGCAGGAAGCTGGAATCAGGAGCCAGAGCTGGACTTGAACCCAGCTACTCTGATGTAGGACATGGGCTTTCTAACCACTAGGCAAACTGCCTACTCTTAGATTTATGCTTCAGTTCTGTTTTTTGGAATTATTCTTGTCTGTACACAATATATGCACATGTCTCTCTCTCTCTCTCTCTCTCTCTCTCTCTCTCTGTCTCTGTCTCTGTCTCTCTCTCACACACACACACATACACACACGTGTGTAGACATGCATTATGTGGAATTTTCAAGTCTTAATTCTGAGCTGACCTTGTTCCCATAGGCTATGGATGAGACAGCATGTATCTGGGCCTGCATGTCCCTGACAACAGACCTCTAACCTCTTGAAATTCTGCCGTCAACGTGCCATATCATGGTTAGGTCAGATCGCTCGTGAGCAGAGGGGGAGGCCTGGGTAAGATCGAATCCGTGAGTGTTCTCCCTCTGCGTCGTCTCAAGCGTAAGGATGGTGCGTTCTGCTCTGTTCAGTCGCTGAGCTCGCTCACCATGGTGCACGTGGGTTGCAGCGACCAGCACCCGCAGCAGCCCTCTTGCAGTGGACCGTGCGTTACATAAAGGGG